ATCGTCATTGGCCGCACTCATCCCCGTCTCGACTCACTTGCCTCTCCGCTGGCTACCCATTGCCAGCAGGGTCACATACAAGATCGCCTGCCTCCGTCACCGCGCCTTCACATCTGCCTGCCCCCCGTACCTCTCTTCATTATTGACGACTTGTCGCAGTGCGACTCACGACCTCCTCTTGATACCAAGATCCAGGATGGTCACGTCTATGCGCCGCTTCTCGGTGGCTGGAACGTAATCCCTCCGCACATTCGCAGCATCGCCTCAATCGTCTCCTTCAAGAGTCACTTTAAAAACTCACCTCTACAACCACGCTATCGAGCGACTCTGAGCTTGGCTCCGCGCCTCTGAGTTGCGGCCATTACGTCCGCAAATTTGTGCGCGTTATAAATGACATGATTATTATGATTAAGATCGTGAACACGACGAGTGGTGTGGACATTCACTCCAGGATATCTCCTGGGCTGCTCTAAAATTTACAACCCAAAACAGCGGTCACGTCGCACGTCCCTCCCGGCTGACTGCCACTCTAACTCCCTCGAGCACTTACTACTGAACCATCAGCCGTGCCACATTCCCGCCCCGGCACGGGCATAAACCCAGGCAATCGAGGGAGGGGGGGTTAAAAAAAGTCCCATTTCCACCCGGGTTACAGTTTCTCACGTTCGTGCGTGAGCCAAAGGCTGCGGGAAATAACCGAGTGACATAATCCAGACCGCTCACTCCACGCCCGCACTCTTTTCCAAAATTACGATCAACGCAAAAAAGTCAAAGAATGTGTGTTTTTTACATCGTTCCAGGCTCAGCTTAAATACACGAGCGCTGGTGAACACGGAGGAATAGAAACAGCGACGCTACCACCGCTGCATCGTCATGTGGCTCACAGCAATTGGCAATGCGGAGTCTCGTGGTGGCAAGAGATTAACACTTAGCAGATGCCCGACAACTCTAACACATGGGGTGGCACTGCATTTTTATCCTCACGCAGTTTCTGAGCACAGGACCAAAGGCCCAATGTCAAACAGCCAGCACACCACTCTCAAAATTTCTATAAGAGATAACACGTTTATTTGGTTGAACGAGGTTATACGAGCTGGGTAAAATAGATCGGGAGGGAATTCCAAAGTGGAGCAGTACGAGGGAAGAAGAAAAAAAGATAAATATTTTGACCTGCAGTGTGGCGAGCGGGTGAGGGAGTGAACCTGCGTTGTTGTTGTTGTGATCAACAGTGTGATAGCTGAACAAAGTGCAGACGGCAGGAAACAATGTCTGGCAGATCGATTCCTCAACATGGGTCGACGAACCAACGAGCGAAGTCCACAGGAACGGTAACCATGGGAGCAGCCACAGAAGAGTTCTAAGGAGGCGAGACTGCCTGCCTAACCCTTGCACATTAACAAGACCCTTGCAAATGTGCATTTTGCACCCCAAGGTGGTTGTCCAATTGAAGTGAGTATAGCCCTTGGTCAATTCACTCCTGCCATACGAGGGCCTCCCTCACGCGCCGTGTCTGTCATGGGGATCGTGTGATCATGCTTCACCCACGCTGGTCAGTGGCGGTTGGCGAATGGCTGTGGGGGGGGGGGGCGGGCAGGGAAGCAAGACTGGTCAAGATAACACTTGCCACTGGTGTCAGCCATGGCCCAGAAAAATCGCAACGCGCGTAGCCGGGTTCATAGTGCAGTGGCACTAACCGCTGCGCCGCCGTAACGGTCTGAATGTGGCTTGCCGAGATACGACGTTAATCAGGTCGCACGTCTTATCAAGGCTGTCACCGCACAACCGTGTGCTGCAGGGAGCTTCGCTTCTCAACGCCGAAGCTCATTTGGAGATTTTTCAACAACCAGGTTCCATGTGCAAAATAACACTCATCCTGGTCTCTTGAGTTCTTAACTGGTTAAACAAAATAGACTTAACAACTGACATCCCACAGCTGGAGTTGCACTGTCAGATGCGCATTGCAAAAGCCACCACCTTCAACATTGGAGCATGTTCAGAATCAGAATATGTATTTATGCTGGAAGAATCCGATGAGCCATAAAGATATTTTTCACAGACGTGCGGTATAAGGGCGGGTAAGAACGCTACAACAACAAACTAAACCATCCCCATCCTACCAGTCAAAGCCCACTGAGGTATTAACTTATTTGTCAGAAGCAACCTGGCCACATATGATAGCTCAACAAGGTGACTTATCATTTGGACATTTAAAGCAGCAAAATAGTCGAAACAGTCTCAATGCATGTTTTCTAAACGTGGAGTGAAAAACTGGAGGACCCAGAGACAAAATCCACACGACCACGGGGAGAACATGCAAACTCCAAATATACAGGCATCAGGGTCGGGACCTAACCCCCGATCTCCTGTATACCAGGCGAGGTAGTTAACATCACACCACCGTGGAGCCCCTTAAATAAATAAAGCTGGCGAGATGGGCTTCTCTGTACGTCTAAAGCCCTGTTTGTCAATCTACCGCTGAACGGACTTTCCCGTTTACATGTAATTCAAGTAGTCACCGTATATCTGTTCAATGTTTCCGTGGCTCACATTTGTATAATTGGACTCGACGATCGGTATGCAGAGCCATGCCAACTGCAAGGGAATTGAGACGTTTTATTGCCAACGACAACCACCTACCCCAGCAAGCAAGACTTCGAGAAATGTACCTTGCCAACAACTAGAGTCCTGATCTCCCTCCTGGGATCGCGCTGCTGTCGGCATCACCACCATCATCATCATAGAATATCTCACCCTGATCCAGAACAACGCTTGCGAACAAAGTGGAACAACGCAGACGTCCAGAACAAACACCTCAATCGAGGTTTTTGGGTTAGATCGCATGAATATAAATGTGTTGCTAAACCCCCCACTACACGACATAGCCAAATAGTAAGGTTTAGTAAGGGTTGTATAACCCACAAAAGCCTCTGTTATGGATAATATTGGTCGCGGAAGCCTACGTGTTAAACAAACAACCTCATTTGAAACCCCAAACATCGTCACATCTCCTGGCTTTCACATTCCTCCTTCTCCCGGTGTAACCGCCGACCGCATCAGAACATCAACGGCAGCCGGCCGATGCGCCAGCGGACCTCAGCATTGCGAATTTCGCTCACGAACGCATTGCAAAAAAAATATAGAATTGCCCGGAAGCAAACTGCCGGAGCCCATAACACAGGTTTTTGGGTTAAATCGCGTAAATATAAATGTGTCGTTAAACCTGCCACCACCAATTAGTAAGGCTTGTCACGTAAACAGAACATGCCAATTTGTTAAGTGTACACCACACCGATGTGTTGGAGAGTAAATCCACAACATTCACAATCTGAGTACGACGTTTCGCCAGTAATTACAACCAGCAGCATCAGGCGACAGCCAGATTTCTGCCGGAGCCCGCTTGCGGTTCCAGAGCTTTAAATTATTTAACGCCAATTTATGTTCGTGCGAAACGTTCAATGTTGTCATGCTACGCTGTCGGGTTTTTTTTCTCTCTCTCTCTCTCTTTCCGATATCTCTTCGCTTCACAGCTGTACTCTTTATTTGTTACGTCGTCTGGCAGAAAAAAAAAGACAGATCGCCGTTGCCAACGAGAGACTTTATCGTGGTCTCTCTTGAGTTCCCTCAGCTGGTTAAACAAAATGAACTGGACACTTGAACCCGAGGGAGCCCTCCCCGTGGCGTTGTGGGTCACACGGGAGAGGTGGTGGCGCTTGAGTCAAACTTCTCGTTGCTGCCATACCCGAGTTCGACTCTCAACCCCGGTTTAACATCAACGGCGAGTGGGGTCTGCACCGGTCCTGCGGGCCCACCGTCACCAACTTAACATGCATCAACAGCAACAACAACCACCACCACCACCACGCGACATACAACATGCATGACAACCACAACCAATCACCAAAACAAACCACCACGACATCCACCTCCAACCACCACCGCCAAACCTACAGCCACCACTAACAACCACCAAGACACCACCATGTCACCACCACCACCACGGTAAACGCCTTGACTGCTCCCATGGCAGGGACGAGAGGCAGCCACAGCACGCGAGCCGTGAACCCCAAGCTCCGTCTCCCCGAACCCTCTCTCACCGGTCCCCCCTCTCTGACCCCCTCTCTCACCGGTCACCCCCCTCTCCCCTGGGCCCCCCTCTCTGGCACCCCTCTCTCCCCTGGGCCCCCCTCTCTCACCGGTCCCCCCTCTCTGACCCCCTCTCTCACCGGTCACCCCTCTCTCACCAGTCCCCCCTCTCTCCCCGGTCACCCCCCTCTCTGACCCCCTCTTTGACCCCCTCTCTCACCGGTCACCCCTCTCTCCCCTGGGCCCCCATCTCTGGCCCCCCTCTCTCTGACCCCCTCTCTCTGACCCCCCTCTCTGACCCCCCTCTCTGACCCCCTCTCTCTGACCCCCCTCTCTGACCCCCTCTCTCTGACCCCCCTCTCTCTGACCCCCCTCTCTCTGACCCCCCTCTCTGACCCCCCTCTCTGACCCCCCTCTCTCTGACCCCCCTCTCTCTGACCCCCCTCTCTCTGACCCCCTCTCTCTGACCCCCCTCTCTCTGACCCCCTCTCTCTGACCCCCCTCTCTCTGACCCCCCTCTCTGACCCCCTCTCTCTGACCCCCTCTCTCTGACCCCCCTCTCTGACCCCCCTCTCTCTGACCCCCCTCTCTGACCCCCCTCTCTGACCCCCTCTCTCTGACCCCCCTCTCTGACCCCCCTCTCTCTGACCCCCCTCTCTCTGACCCCCCTCTCTCTGACCCCCCTCTCTGACCCCCCTCTCTGACCCCCCCTCTCTGACCCCCCCTCTCTGACCCCCTTCTCTGACCCCCTTCTCTGACCCCTCTCTCTGACCCCCCTCTCTGACCCCCCTGACCCCCCCCTCTCTGACCCCCCTCTCTGACCCCCTCTCTCTGACCCCCCTGACCCCCCCCCTCTCTGACCCCCCTCTCTGACCCCCCTCTCTCTGACCCCCCTCTCTGACCCCCCTCTCTCTCACCGGTGCGCAGCTGCAGCTCCACAGTGACCGAGTCTCCATCGGACGAGGAGCTCTCCCCCATGACCGCGTCTCCTCCTGCTCCTCCTCCTGCTGCTGCTGCTGCTCCAGATCCTCCTCCTCGTCTACCTCGTCAGGGCCATCGCGGCGACAGCAGGGCCTCCCCTCAATGACGATGTTGTTGATGTTGTTGATGTTATTGTTGATGTTGTTGTTCTGTCGTCGCGTGTGAATTACGCCGCCTGTGACTCACGTGTACGGCCTCACCCTGGCACTCCCTCTCCCCTTTTACTCTCCTGCCGCTCTCTCTTTACTCTCCCCTCACTTTGCGCGCTCTCCCCGCTTTGTTTTTACTTCCCCCTCTCTCTTTCCTCTCCCTTTCCTCTCTCTTTCCTCTCGATTCCCTCAACTCTTCCCTCCTTTACTCTCCCCCTCGCTCTCCCTCCCCTCTCCCCCTCGCTGTCCCTTCCCTCTCCCCCTCGCTCTCCCTTCCCTCTCCCCTCGCTCTCCCTTCCCTCTCGCTCTCCCTTCCCTCTCCCCTCGCTCTCCCTTCCCTCTCCCCTCGCTCTCCCTTCCCTCTCCCCTCGCTCTCCCTTCCCTCTCCCCTCGCTCTCCCTTCCCTCTCCCCCTCGCTCTCCCTTCCCTCTCCCCTCGCTCTCCCTTCCCTCTCCCCTCGCTCTCCCTTCCCTCTCCCCTCGCTCTCCCTTCCCCCCCCTCGCTCTCCCTTCCCTCTCCCCCTCGCTCTCCCTTCCCTCTCCCCCTCGCTCTCCCTTCCCTCTCCCCCTCGCTCTCCCTTCCCTCTCCCCCTCGCTCTCCCTTCCCTCTCCCCCTCGCTCTCCCTTCCCTCTCCCCTCGCTCTCCCTTCCCTCTCCCTTCGCTCTCCCTTCCCTCTCCCCTCGCTCTCCCTTCCCTCTCCCTTCGCTCTCCCTTCCCTCTCCCCTCGCTCTCCCTTCCCTCTCCCCTCGCTCTCCTTCCCCCTCTCTGCTGAGAGCCCGCGCACGCGCCTGACCAATCGCAGCGCGCAGCGCTAGTCACGTGACACCGCGTCCCAACATTCGCACCCGGGCTCGGCTGCTTCCTGGGCACCCCCCCCCCCCGCTGCCGCCAATGGAAGCGCGCCGCGCGGATCACGTGGGACGGGAACTGCCCTCACGTGGGCGTGGCGGCTCCAGCTCGCCCCCACGTGGGCACTCGCCGGCTCTATCCACTGCTGGCTTCTGGGGGGTCAAGTCCCCCCTACGCCCATTGGAGCGTTGAGATTTTAAACTTCGCTTGTTTTGGCCAAGGTCTCGCGACAACATTACGAGGGAGGGTTCTTGCCAAGTGTTTTGAGCAGTTTGGGGCAATTAAATTAATTTGCAGGTACCGTTTGGCCAATATGAGTCATACATTGTTATATTTCATTCATTTATTTTAATACGCTGGTCAGTGCGCGTTGTTGAAGGCGGGGAGCATATAAAGTGCAGTACAACGATGTATGTTGATGCACTGCCCTCTGCTGCACACTGCATGTCACGTTCATTGCACGGTAATGTCCCTCACCCAGCAGAGCACAGAATCTCGAGACGCGTCTTAGGGAGCGTGCTACGACTATTCATTCACGTTTGAACATTAATTTATAGGAACTCATCAACTCTTACATTTTGATTTAAAGCTTTTGTGACTGCAGGGATTCATATTCTTGGTTCTTTCGGTAAAGTCACGTAGAAGGGAAATAATAAAATAAGAAAAATATAAAACAATAAAATTCTCACGAGGTTTCGACTGCAACACAAGCAATCATCATCAGGTGTGAAAACCACAACAAGAAAATGTGAAAAAGTGGCGTTTTTTTTTCTTAAAAACCCTGATGATTGCTTGTGTTGAAATCGAAACGTCGTGAATTTTATTGTTTGATTTTTACTGTTTCCCTTCTACGTGACTTTACCGAAAGAACCAAGAATATGTAATAAAGAGTTATGGTATGCTATGGCTCGTGTGTGCTGCACCTCTTTCCCCCCGAGTTTGTGTGTTGTGTGGCATCTGCTGGGCGTGCCCAGCCACAAATTTTCTTGTTGTGGTTTTCACACCTGATGATGATTGCTTGTGTTGCAGTCGAAACGTCGTGAGAATTGTATTGTTTATATTTTTTATATTTTATTGTTTCCCTTCGTGACTTTACCGAAAGAACCAAGAATATAATTGACTCTTAATATATAGAGGGCTACAGAGCTTTAGGCAACTGCTGGCCACCGGCTTAAGGGCCGTCCATAAATGACGTCACAAAAAGTCAGACCCCCCTAAAATATGACGTCACAAAGCTCTGCCCCACCCCCCAAAACCATATTTACATTTTGAAAATAAAACATGCTTCAAATCGCTTTAAAATATTGTCATTGTAGTGCGTATTTAATGTGGCGCTGCACTCTGATGTTGAAGGAGAAAACATTTATTAAAAAGTATATTTAATTACGTAGAACGTGTTGTCTATATTTATTTAAAGTTGCGCATATTGATGTGACGTCACATTTCTCAACCCCCCCCCTCGTCACACATCGTCACAAATGTCTGACGTCATCCCCCCCTCCTAGGTGCGTGACGTCATTTATGGACGGCCCCACACCGCCTGGCTGCTGTCCGTGGTTCCACGGCGATTATGAACGATGCAATTTGCTGGCACGACGTTAGGATGAAACGAAACAATTCCAGTTTGGCTTCGTGTGCGGGGAAATGGGAGAAGCCGCAGTAATCCCATATCCGGGCCACCGCACAAAACCTGGAGTTCATAGCGAGTCAACCGTACACCACACTCAACAGGCTGACACCTCTTCTTTGGTTCTTTCGGTAAAGTCACGTAGAATGAGAATAAAATAATAAATTGATAAAATAAAATAACACAATATTCTCACGACGTTTCGGCCACAACACGAGCGGCCTTCATCAGGTGAAGGGGACGAGACTGTCTGGTGTACGCTTCAGGGTGCACTTGCCACTGGGGAAACGATTTTGGAAAACGTAAAACAAAAAAAATCCACGTTGCAATGTGTTCAAGAGGAAAGGTTAATCGGTGCGTACAATCTGCACTGACGTGGATCAGAAGAATGGAGGGCAGTGGTAGAGACAATGGAACGAACGCTGAAAAGTGCGTGCTGGGGAATGCACGTGAAGAGGAACGCGTGGTTCAAAGTGCGCGCTTACTAAGACGCCTTTCACACTTTCACAATGCCTCGAGGCGAACGAGGAGGACAGAGACAATACAGAAAGATCCGGGTTGACGACCTAAGAACCCAGAAAGGAACAAAGGGACCGTCCATAAATGACGTCACGCACCTGGGGGGGGGGGGTCAGACATTTGTGACGCTGTGTGACGAGGGGGGGGTGAGAAATGTGACGTCACGTAAAAATGCGCAACTTTAAATAAATATAGAGAACACGTTCTACTTAATTAAATATACTTTTTAATAAATGTTTTCTCCTACAACATCAGAGTGCAGCACCACATTAAATACGCACTACAATGACAATAGTTTAAAGCGATTTGAAGCATGTTTTATTTACAAAATGGAAATATGGTATTGGGGGGGCAGAGGTTTTGTGACGTCATATTTGAGGGGAGGGGGGGTCTGACTCTTTGTGACGCCCTGTGACTAGGGGAGGGGTCAAAACTCGTCCAAAATCGCGTGACGTCATTTATGGACGGCCCCATAGACTGCCAGTACACTCCGATTTAGAACCAGGCTACAGTCTACATTAGTGTATTTTTTTTATTAAAAATTTCTATCTACGTGACTTTACCGAAAGAAACAAACGAACATTAATTCCTGTAGTCACGAAAGTTTTAAGTCCAAATTTGAGGCGCGTTCCCTTGAATGGCGAATGAGGGAGCTGGGAATCAGGTGACGGGTGCCGGGGGGTGCCGGGGGGCGGCGGTGATATTGTACGCGCGAATCTTGTGGCGCGAATCGGGAGTTGGGGGCGCGTGGATTTGGCGGCATCGCGTGGTGAAGGCCCGAGGAGAGAACGCCATAGAGAGAGGTGCGGAGTACAGCACAACTCGCTCCGACACTCTCCCCGTCTCTCTCACCCAGGCCGGTACAACTCTGCCGACTCGCTCCGACACTCTCCCCGTCTCTCTCACCCAGGCGAGGACAACTCTGCCGACTCCGACACTCTCCCCGTCTCTCTCACCCAGGCCGGTACAACTCTGCCGACTTGCTCCAACACTCTCCCCGTCTCTCTCACCCAGGCCGGTACAACTCTGCCGACTCCGACACTCTCCCCGTCTCTCTCACCCAGGCGAGGACAACTCTGCCGACTTGCTCCAACACTCTCCCCGTCTCTCTCACCCAGGCCGGTACAACTCTGCCGACTCGCTCCAACACTCTCCCCGTCTCCCTCACCCAGGCAGGGACAACTCTGCCGACTCGCTCCAACACTCTCCCCGTCTCTCTCACCCAGGCCGGTACAACTCTGCCGACTCGCTCCGACACTCTCCGCGTCTCTCTCACCCAGGCAGGGACAACTCTGCCGACTCCGACACTCTCCCCGTCTCTCTCACCCAGGCCGGTACAACTCTGCCGACTCGCTCCAACACTCTCCCCGTCTCTCTCACCCAGGCCGGTACAACTCTGCCGACTCCGACACTCTCCCCGTCTCTCTCACCCAGGCGAGGACAACTCTGCCGACTTGCTCCAACACTCTCCCCGTCTCTCTCACCCAGGCCGGTACAACTCTGCCGACTCCGACACTCTCCCCGTCTCTCTCACCCAGGCCGGTACAACTCTGCCGACTCGCTCCAACACTCTCCCCGTCTCTCTCACCCAGGCGAGGACAACTCTGCCGACTCCGACACTCTCCCCGTCTCTCTCACCCAGGCGAGGACAACTCTGCCGACTCGCTCCAACACTCTCCCCGTCTCTCTCACTCAGGCAGGGACAACTCTGCCGACTCGCTCCAACACTCTCCCCGTCTCTCTCACCCAGGCCGGATTAAACTCTCACTCTACAACACCCTCCCCGTCCCTCTCACCCAGGCCGGATTAAACTCTCACTATACAACACTCACCCAGGCGGCTTGAAAACTAATTTATTTAGAACTGTGTTTAGTTGTCCTCCCCACCGCACATCCAATTAACACGGTTGGCTACGTACGGTGCGAAAGAAGTTCTACATACTACACACAGACTCACACAGAGACCCATGGACTCACGCAGAGTCCCGCGGACTCGCGCAGAGACCTGTGGACTCACGCAGAGACCCATGGACTGAGGCAGAGACCCGTGGACTCACGCAGAGACCCGTGGACTCACGCAGAGACCCGTGGACTCACGCAGAGATCCGTGGACTCACGCAGAGACCCGTGGGCTCGCTTAGAGACCCGCAGACTCACGCAGAGACCCGTAGACTCAAGCAGAGCCCAGTGGACTCACGCAGAGACCCGTGGACTCACGCAGAGACCCGTGGACTCACGCAGAGACCCGTGGACTCAAGCAGAGACCCGTGGACTCACGCAGAGACCCGGGGACTCACACAGAGACCCGTAGACTCACGCAGAGAGCCGTGGACTAGCGCAGAGACCCGTGGACTCAAGCAGAGACCCGGGGACTCACACAGAGACCCGTAGACTCACGCAGAGAGCCGTGGACTAGCGCAGAGACCCGTAGACTCACACAGAGACCCGTGGACTCACACAGAGACCCGTGGACTCAAGCAGAGACCCGGGGACTCACACAGAGACCCGTAGACTCACGCAGAGAGCCGTGGACTAGCGCAGAGACCCGTGGACTCAAGCAGAGACCCGGGGACTCACACAGAGACCCGGGGACTCACGCAGAGACCCGTGGACTCGCTTAGAGACCCGCAGACTCACGCAGAGACCCGTAGACTCAAGCAGAGACCCATAGACTCACGCAGAGAGCCGTGGACTAGCGCAGAGACCCGTGGACTCACGCAGAGACCCGGGGACTCACACAGAGACCCGTGGGCTCACACAGAGACCCGTGGACTCACGCAGAGACCCGTGGGCTCACACAGAGACCCGTGGACTAGCGCAGAGACCCGGGGACTCACACAGAGACCCATAGACTCACGCAGAGAGCCGTGGACTAGCGCAGAGACCCGGGGACTCACACAGAAACCCATAGACTCACTCAGAGACCCGTGGACTCACACAGACCCGTGGACTCACTCAGACCCGTGGACTCACGCAGAGACCCGTGGACTCACGCAGAGACCTGTGGACTTACGCAGAAACCCATGGACTCGCGCAGAGACTCATAGACTCACAGACGCCCATAATTTGTTGCCCTTCCCCCGCACCTCTGATTCGCACGGTTGGCTACGCACGGTGCAAAAGAAGTTCTACATACTGTACACACAAACATGCATCTCTCATGAATGCACTTGATTATTCGCTATTCCGCAACGGGTAAAGGCGCCGCCCTGCTATTGCTTCCTCACTCAAGCCACTTCTGTTGGAAAGGCCTCCACTCGAGAGGACTCTGGTGGATATTTGGTCTACTCTTCCAGGCTGACCAAGTAGTCTTGGAAGAGGTGGCAGTACCCACACTTTACCCCAGGCACACGTGACGTGCCTATTGACTGTGGTGTACCAATTTAACACGTAGTAGTAGTATGACTTTCATGACCAATATCCATAATATACGTTTTTTGTTTGGGTTAGATCGCTTAAATCTAAATGTCGTTAAACCCGCCTCCACCCGACACAGCCAATTAGTAAGGTTTGTCACGTAAACAAAACGTGGCAATTAATTACTAGTTAAGCACTAACCGGTTGTTGTGTGTTGGAGAGTAAACACACTATACCATTGACAATTACAGTACCGTGACGTTTCGCCTGGATGGAGCGGCGATGGGGACATTTAATAAAAATGTTCCCCACTGTTTGAATTGTCGAGCCGGGAGATGGAATCAAGCCCTGCATCCTCTGGATTCCAAGTCCAGTGGGGCTGCTCACCATTACATTACCAGGGCAGCCCCCTTCTAGAGGTTGTCATTCATGGGAGGCCAGAACAAGTAACCCCAGTAGACCCCTTGGCAGATTTCCGAAGAATGTGAATCGGCACCAGCGGTAGAGACATTGTTTTGATTTGGAGGTTTAGTTTGTCCGGGAGCGGCACGTGATCAACAGTGTCGAAAGCCTTGGACTGATCCGTAGAGATGGCGTCAGGTATCTTGGCCTTGGTCCATAGCTGTGTGGTCCATGTGGCGGCTGTAACTTTCAACAGGGTGGTTATTGTTGAATGCTTCTGGTGAAACCCAGATTCAAAACCGGTTAATAAATGATCACGTGTCGAATGCCATTTAATTAATATCAACTGTGTATATTATCCACAGCTCTCGTTCCATCATGAGTTTCGTCTCTGGTGGCACGGGGAACGCCACCGGCTTCTCCTTCGGTGCTCAGCCCGGCGGTGCCGGCGGTGGGTTTTCCTTCGGCGGCGCCGGTGCCCCAACTGCGGCGGCGCCGGGGGCGCAAATGCCGGCCACCGGCTCAGCCTTCAGCTTCGCCCCGGCCACCGCGGCCGCCCCGGCGGCGTCGTCGTCCGGGTTCTCGTTTGGCGGCGCCGGTGCCGGGACAGGTGCCAACACCGGATTCTCGTTCGGTCAGTCGGCCATGGGCGCCCCTTCTACCGCCGCAGCTGCCCCTTCAGTATCTGCCGCAGCTGCCCCCGCCGCTGCCCCCACCGCCGCCACGGGGTTCCAGCTTGGAGGAGCACCGGCGGGGATGGCCGCGCCAGGGGGGTTTGCGTTTGGGGCAAGCGGTGCGGCCACCCCGGCCAGCAGCGCCCCGACGGCGAGCTTCGGGTTCAGCGGTGGAGCGACGGGCGCCTTCTCATTCAGGTGCAGACGCGGCGAGCGCGACGCGTGGCCTTTGTGTGGGTGAGAGAGTCTATGAGAGCAGTGTGTTTGTGTGTAGTACAAGTGTGCGTGTACCTGCGTGTCTGTGACGGGAGCGGTAAGTGCAGTGGTTCTCGCACCGCACTACGAACCTGGAAACATAGGTTCAGTTCCAGGCTACAGGCAACATCGGTACCAAATATTCCCATCCATAGCTTCCCCTAGGTCGACTCGGCGTGAAAGGAATACCTGGCGCAGTGTGTAGACATCTTAACTCGGGAGCCAGGTGTGCTACTGGTCACACCATCCCGTCGTAGATGCGCCGTGTCAGCTTTAATAGGTGCTTGCTAACAGCAATTTCCGCAAGTCTGTCTATGCCACACGGGCATATTTGTCTTTGTTTCAATAAAACTAAATGTGGTGTGCGCAGTAGCAGGGTGTATGTGGATGCGGTTTCTAAACAGTGTGGTAAGTACCTGTGATTGTGTCTTTGCCATGCCTAGTGTGTGTGTGTAGTATAGTGTATGTCGTGCGTATGGGTAGCAGTGGTTAGTGCAGTGCACTACAAAACCAGTGGACCCTCTCACGGTCAACATCGAATATCTTATCTGGTCCTGAGCTTGCCCTAGTATGCCCCAGCCTTAAATGAGCACCTGGTGCGATGTCTAAACATGAGCACTGGGGAGACAATGGTGGCCGGGCTTGGTGTTGGCCACACACTCTATCTTGTGCCAGCCTTAATAGGTGCTTGCTAACAGTACTTGCCCGCAACAGCCTGTTAAAGTTTAACAGGTAGCCTTTCACGACCAATATCCCAAATATAGGTTTTTTTTGGGTTAGACCGAGTAAATATAAGTGTGTCGTTAAACCCGCCACAACCCGACGCGGCCAATTAGTAAGGTTTGTCACGTAAACAGAACGTGCCGATTCGTTACTAGTACAGCACACCGGTGTGTTGGAGAGAAAATCCACAACATTTACAATCTGGCTGTCCGCCTGATGATGCTAGTTGTAATTGCTGTCATACTCAGCCTGTTGAAGGCTATGTGGGGGACCTACATCTTTGTTGTAGTGTGTATGAGGTTATAACACTGTGTGTGCGCTGTTGTGCAGTACGCCCACCACCACCACCACGCAAGGCCTGATGCTGGGAGGAGGGCTGACGGGCGCCAGCTCTCTTGGGGGGCCAGGAGCAGGGGCCTCCGCCGCCAAGCTGCCGTTCAGCTTTGGCGCCGCCACCTCGACTGGTGAGGGGAACTTCGGCCACTGGCACCGCAGTCCGGTGACGGTGGAGCTCGGTCGTGCGGATATTTTAGTAAGCGATTACACGGAGTTTGATTTTGGCCGCGTCTACGGCACTGAAGGTTTGGCGGCTGCGTGCTTGCATTATTTGAATCGATGCTTCCGTTACCTTAAATCAACAGGGGAGAACAACCTCTGTAGGCCCGACCCTTCTTTAGGCCCTGACTCCTTCCTTGGGCCCCAGCCCTTCCTGATTATGCCCCCGTCGTCTCTTTCTTTCGGCTCTGCGCCTCTCCTTTTGTAGGACACGCCCCTTCTTTGGGGCCCCTCCTCTTTCTGTTTAGGCACCGCCCCTGACCCCCTACACAGTGCTGGGCTAGTTTTAATTGTGGAAGTTGGGGGGGGGGGAGTGCGCATGCGCAGCAGCAGTGGTGGCCGGGGACAGTCCGGGTTATGGGTGGGGCGGCTTCACTATAACAACCAGGATTTCTCTTAGAGCGGCAATAAAACGCTAGATTCTAATTTACATTTACGGCACCGTCCTTGTCGAGCCGATGTTTGTGGGTTCCGTGTTGTCGCCGCGATGTTTCTTGACGCAATCTCTGCTCGCCGCCACTGCCGCCCACGCAGGCCTGACCCTGGGAGGGGTCTCGGCACCCACCAGCACGATGGCCCAGTCCACCGGCCAGGCCACCGCCGTGTCCTTCGGACAGAAGCCCCTAGGCGGCGCACAAGGTAAGACTGGGCCGGCGGCCGCCCGGAATGTGCCGAGCTCGGCGAATATTTCCCCGCGTCGTGCTCGGGTAGTCGAACTGGACCACCCCGCGTCGCGGGTGCCGTGTGGTGAGCGCCAGGTGGCAATGTGGCAAGATGCGTTGTTGCGCTGTACTTCTGTGCTTCCGCGTCTACGCTCGGACCCGTCTTCACAAATTGGCACGGTGAAGTACGGTCAAATAACCCTCACGACCTGCTCGTCGTGGGGAGGCCATCTTCCAATTGTGGATTGACAAAGAGGCTGTACCCGTTCCCATTGAGTCGTTGCAGAGTGGTGCTGCAGTGGTGATTTTGAGAACCGGTTCTGGGCCTCCCCTAGGTCGACTTGGCCATAAATAAGTACTGGGTGTGTCGTGTGAACGTTAGCGCCGGCGAGGTATGACGGCCAAGCGTGATTCTGGCCACGCCGCCCCGTCGTGCGCTGTGCCAGCCTCAATCAGTGCTCACTCGCAGCTCTTGCCTCGACCGCCTGCGTAGGCCACACGGGTGATCTTTTGTCTATTTTGTTGCTCTCTCTCTCCAGGTACGGGCATGGGTCTGAGTGGCGGACTGAGCCTGGGCGGGACCCCGCTCACGTCCGCCGCTGCCGGGTTTGCGCAGGGAGCCCCCCAACTAGCCACGGCTGCCCCCTCGGCCGGATTCTCGCTCGGCTTGGGCCTGGCCAAGACCGAGACGACCACCGCACCGACTTCACTCGGCGGTGAGGGTGGTGGGATCCCCGTGAACCAAGGAGGTAGAGCCGGGGCGGTTATAGCCGATGGGACGATTACTCTATTGATCAACTGGGACGGCCGCGTGACCCAGCGAAAGTGCGCTCGCGGGCCCGTCGGAGAAGCTCGCGGTTGTAATCCGGCAGGCTGTCCTGATTAATGCCGTGGGTGTGTTAACCGTAAAATTATGAACCTTGCGTTTCACGGTGGACGTTCAGGATCCCATTAAGTAATGCGAAGAAGAGTAGGCCATTGCGTGCCCGGCGTCACGATAAAATTAGTCAATGTTGAAAAATTACTTGATTAGAAACACGGCAATCCTGAAAGAGTCTGGAGGCTCGGTGAGGCTTCCCCGGGTAAACGAGCGTAAAAATAATAAAAGTGGTCGGCTGCATTGTTGGTGGTCCATTGCTCGGGCCCCTTGAGTGCTCTCTCAGCCATGCCTTTCCCAACCGTGCGTCATCCTGCAGCCGGACTCTCTTAATTAATTAGGTCAACCTGGTCACTTGGACTCTTTTAGTAACAATGGGGCATGACTGCTCCCTGTATGCGCAGTAGTTGCCTTGTCCGGATGTTGCCACTGGGCGGCGGCGGCAGCAGCAGCAGCAGGAGGCATGTGCCGCGTGTGGCCGTAAACAAAACCTAGCGCTCGGACCACGTGACACGACGTCGGGACCGGCCGTGGAAGGCGTCACCGCCGGGTCGCGGGAATCGTCCGCGCCGATCCGAAAATCTGGCCTAGATACGAAAGTATCATCTGAAAAAAAACACCTTAGTTTTGGATTGCTCCGAAATGATGACGTCAGGGGTATTGACGTCACGTGCAATGCATAAGAGTGTTCGTCAGGTGCCGCGGTTTCTTCCCACATGTACGCACGCATTACCTGGCTGACAACACCTTAATATACAGAGGATTGCAGAGCCGGGGCAATTGTCGTCGCCGGCTCACCGTGTGGCGGAAGATCCCGCTTGTCTGTGGTTGACCGCACTTCCGAGTCGCTCTCTGTCTCTACGAGAGCGAGCGGATGCTTGGCTGGCGGCGCAGCGTCGCAAGTTGACGTTGTTATTCTTCGGCGATGCTATAACGGTAGCCTCCGGAGTAATGCCGCGGGCAAGTACGTCCGCGCTCGGGCCGCGAGCGTGCCTTACCGGCCTGGCTGTCGCTCGCAGGGACGACCAGAGGATTTTCCCTGGCCGGCGCCGCTGCTGCCGTCGTGGCCCCCAGCGCCACCTCAGCCGCCAGCACCGCAACGTCGTCCTCCTCCTTCGGCTTTGGCACGGCGCCCGCCTCCTGCACGACCGCACAGCAAGGTGGGGCCGAAATTTCGATTTAAAGCTTTCGTGACTGCAAGGATTCATCTTCTTTGGTTCTTTCGGTAAAGTCACCACGTAGAATGAGAATAAAATAATAAATTAATTGCGATATTTTATTTACTTATTATTTTAGTTTCATTCTACGTGACTTTACCGAAAGAACCAAAGAAGGTGGGGCCTGCGCGGGGCACCCGTCCGGATGAACGCTTTCGTAACGAAGGTTGAAGGCGCGGATGCAACCTGGAGCCATGGTGACTCGAGTGAAGATGATTATTTAAAAGTAATAGTTTAATTGAACCTGGAAGCCATACCGAGTCAGATGGCTCGGTTTTTAGGAGGTTCCTGCATTGGGTATTTATTTTAACGTATTCAACCGGTTTCATGAGTGTTTGTTATGACAAGTGGGAGGAAACGAGAGCACCCAGAAATAATCCACGCCTTGCACATGGGGGAAACATGCTGATTTAGTCCACTTGCTCTACTGTCGATGGCACCTCCTCAACACCCTCACATTTGTGTGATCCACCAAGCCTGGCCTCCACAGTGCTGGATTGCAGGTGTGCGCCACCACCGGCTGGTGTGAAGTTCTGTTATCAGGGACGAGAGAAATCTTGGCACCGGTTGTCCCTCGTTTGTCTTCGTTCCCCAGTTTTATCCCAGTTGTGCTACCACATCACGAGATGGAGAATCTGTTCACATATCTCACAGAGCGGTGCAACCCTGCACGTTAGAAAGTGCCCCGTGAAAGCGGATATCATAGAACTACACCTGAGATCTTCAAGTGACCTCTGGTCCACACGGTAGAGGGGCAGCACCATCTCACCCACCCTGCTACAGAGCGGTCAAACGGACATTCGCCGAAGTTTCGTATTATCCGTGTTTTTGTGTTATCCTTGCCATCCTTTCCCCCCTGATCATTCCGGATTACGGAGGAGTTGCCTGTGGGACGATCTCTCGGACGGCACAGCGACTGCCGATCGCGGCGAGGCGTGCCTAGGCGTGCACGACGTTTAACGCGTGGCGTTTCTCGGTTGTTATTCTCGACAGTGGCGGGCGCGGCAGGCGCCGGGCTGGCGTCCTTCGCCGGATTTAAACCGCCCGCTGCCGCCACCGCCACCAGCGCCGCCGCCATCGTCTCGGCCGCCCCGGCCGCAAGCTCCGCCAGTGTGGCGCCGGTCAGCACCACCGCCACCAGGTAACGGCACCCGCCCCGCGAGGAGCGCGAGAGGTGCGACCTCCTGATGCGTGCGGGGAATCGCTCGCGCCGTGCGGAGCCGCGGAGTCCGGGGTAACCCAGCCGCTCCACCGTCGCCGCTTCATCCAGCCCACACGGCCTTGTCGCTCCACTGTGCAGCCGTGCTAAGGGACCGTCCTCAACAGTGTGGAGGGGGGGTGGCCAGGTCCACAGTCGAAAGACTCCGGTCTACGTAATTCTACGCGATTTATACGTCTCCGTGCGAACGTACGTGTCTCTGTGTGAATCGGCGGGTCTCTGTGCGAGTCTGCGGGGGCCTGTGTGAGCCTACGTCTCCGTGTGAATCTGCGCGGTGGCGCCGTAGCGCCACATCTCACCGCACCGCCTGCCACCCTCCCCCGCAGTGCGGCACCCTCGCTATCGTTCGGGCAACTGGAGGAGCTGCTGAACAAGTGGGGCTCGGAACTGGAGGAACAGGAGAAGCATTTCCTGCACCAGGCGACGCAGGTCAACGCGTGGGACCGCACGCTCATCGAGAACGGGGACATGGTGAGCGCCGCTCGTGGCGGCCCGCGGCGCCGCAGGGACGGTGCAGCGGGGGGGGGGGGGGGGGTCTACTGGGCGGCTCCGGCGCGCGACCGTGACTCGCGCTGAGGGCCGCGGGCTCGCGCAGAGACTCTGTGCGTGATGCCCATGGTGGAATATGGAGTTGAATTCACATCGCGTCTCGTGCTGCCTGGGTTCTGTGTAGATCACGTCTCTGCACAAGGATGTGGAGAAAGTGAAGCTGGATCAGAAGAGGTGAGCGCTGCTTTTGCACCTGCGCGGCCCTGCTGCCACTGGCTGAGTGCCTCCCCTGGCCGTGCGGGTCTTGTTCTGTTTATCCGCACGCAGCGCCGTTGACGCAGATTGCTTCTCAAAACGCTGTCGATTTCGTCTCGCGCGCAGGCGTGGAAAACCAAAGAACAAGCACCAGCAATTGCCTAAGCTCTGTGGTCCGATATTGCCATGTTTTGCCAACTCCATTAATGGGTTGTTTATTCATGTGGGAGGAAATTGGTGAACCCACGAGTAAGGAGGAAGTTTCATGAGTGAGAGTGTGTGTGATCCACAAACTCTTGCTGCCTCCACACTTATGGGGTCGGAAGGCCACCAGCGCCTGGGTTGCAGGGGTTAGTTGACCACACAGGGTGTGTCCACTACAGTTCCCAAAGATATATTGAAGACAAAGATCCCCCCCGTACAGCCTCAAACACGAAAGCTATATGGGGGAACTTTGTCTTCATGTATCTTAGGGAACCATAGTGCAGTGGTTAGTGCACTACACTACGAACTCATCGACCCAAGTTCAATATCTGAACTGGTTATAGACCTCTCCTAGGTCGGCTCGGCCTGAAATGAGTACCTGGTGCAGTGTATAAACAGCATTGGTGAGACAAAGGCAGATGGGCGTGGTGCTAGCAACCCACCTCTGTGCCTTGCTGACCATAGGTGCTCACGAACAGCAGTTACCCCAACAGTCTGTTGAAGGCTATACGGCTAATCATTGACTTCTGTATGTTTAACTTTTACACCGTAGGTAGCCAACTGTGCGCGCCTTACATCTCCGCGAGCGACGTCGTGCCGTGGTAACGTCGTGAGCGTGCACGAACCTTCTCTGTGCCCCCACCTCCCCCCCCCCAGGCTGGACCAAGAGCTGGACTTCATCCTGTCCCAGCAGCGCGAGCTTGAGGATCTGCTGGTGCCACTTGAGGACTCGGTGAAGGAGCAAACGGGGACGATCTACATGCAGCACGCGGACGAGGAGCGCCAGCACACGTATGCACGCACGCACGCACGCGAAGGGAGAACTGGCACGTGTACACACAAAGACAGCACGCACACTGAGCCTGCACACGTAAGCACGTCCGCACTGACCCCACGGGGTTAAACACCACGGTCAAGGTTGGTGGACGGCATCAGAAGCCCCGTGAAGCCCACGTGCCGATGCGTTGTGCAGCTGTTGGTGAGCGGTGCGACCCCGTGACCCAGCCACGTCGACGCATTGTCAGCTATCGCTGCGACCCCGTGACCCCGTCGCCCGTGCCGATGTGCGCAGGTACAAGTTGGCCGAGAACATCGACGCGCAGCTCAAGAGGATGGCCCAGGACCTCAAGGAGATCATCGAGCACATCAACACCTCGAGCAGCTCGCACAACTCCACCGACCCCGTGAGTCACCCCCCCCCCCAGCGTTCCCGCTGCAGGCCCCTGCGCGGTCGAGCCGTTCGCTTAACCCATGGCGAACGGGAGCCTCGGTCGGCAGGCTTCGTGGGGGCGTCTGTCACGAGAGGCGGTGGATGTGCGGAGTGCAGGCGTTCCGTTTTCCGCTCGCCATGAAGTAGAGTCGAGGATGGCATTTCCCCACAAGTCGCTCTGCTGCTGGAAGTGCCGTGGAAGTTTGGCCAAAATTAGGTGGGGAACCAAATTTTACTGTGTGAAAAATAAGAATAGGTTTAACCCTTTCTGGCAATAGGACAGGAGGTGTTAAGATGCTCAGAAACTCAATATATACCTTTTGCAAGGAATCAAGTCTGCATCACCCACACGTACTTGTGGTGAACATGCAAACAAACATGCTCTGATAATTATCTATGCATTGTCTTTGAAACTGATTGGCCTACAACAGAGACAGCCTCCTCCATGGCCTTGTTTCACCAGCGTCAGACCAGAGAAGAACGCCATTATCAGAACACGTTTGTTTGCATGTTTTGCCACAAGTATGTGTGGTTAATGCAGACTTGATTCATTGCAAAAGGTATCCATTGGGTGTCTGAGCATCTTAACACGAGTTTTATTTCCATAAAGGCTAAAACTTATTCTTATTATTCATACTTTGATGCTGGCAAAAAAAGGTCCCATCAAATTTTACTTTAATGTAATTTTACTTTAATGTAAAATTATGTGCAGCCATTGGCGACCGGGTTGAGACCATCAACTCACTGCGTCGTCGGTTCCGCCGTCTGCTCGGGATCCGTTCCATTGTGAGCGAAAATCCGCGTGTGGTTTCCCCCTCTCTTGCCTCCAGCTGCAGCAAATCTGCAAGATCCTGAACGCGCACATGGACTCTCTGCAGTGGATTGACCAGAACACAGGTGGGGCCCGGCACCGGTCACAACTCGCTGCACCGTGCCAGCACGCCACACACAGACCTCACTCGCTCACCATTCCAGCACGCCACACACAGACCTCACTCGCTCACCATTCCAGCACGCCACACACAGGCCTCACTCGCTGCACCATTCCAGCACGCCACACACAGAACTCGCTCGCTCACCATTCCAGCACGCCACACACAGAACTCGCTCGCTCACCATTCCAGCACGCCACACACAGACCTCACTCGCTCACCATTCCAGCACGCCACACATAGAACTCGCTCGCTCACCATTCCAGCACGCCACACACAGGCCTCACTCGTTCACCATTCCAGCACGCCACACACAGAACTCGCTCGCTCACCATTCCAGCACGCCACACACACAGGCCTCACTCGCTCACCATTCCAGCACGCCACACACAGGCCTCGCTCGCTCACCATTCCAGCACGCCACACACAGGTCTCACTCGCTCACCATTCCAGCACGCCACACACACAGACCTCACTCGCTCACCATTCCAGCACGCCACACACAGAACTCGCTCGCTCACCATTCCAGCACGCCACACACACAGGCCTCACTCGCTCACCATTCCAGCACGCCACACACAGACCTCACTCGCTCACCATTCCAGCACGCCACACACACAGACCTCACTCGCTCACCATTCCAGCACGCCACACACAGACCTCTCACTCACCATTCCAGCACGCCACACACAGGCCTCACTCGCTCACCATTCCAGCACGCCACACACAGACCTCACTCGCTCACCATTCCAGCACGCCACATACAGGCCTCACTCGCTCACCATTCCAGCACGCCACACACAGAACTCACCGTGCCAGCACACCTCATACACACCTGTGAGTGTTGTTTGCGACTGCGTGTGTGACTGTGTGACCATGCGTGCGGGTGCAGTCTTTCTGCAGAAGAAGGTGGACGAGGTGGCCAAGCAGTTTGAGACGCAGAGGAAGGAGCAGGAGCATCCGTACCGCCTGGGCCTCAACTGATTCTGGCCACAGTCCGCCGACAGACCCAGTTGCCCGCCGATAGGAGCGATCGGCCGTCCGGCCAGTTGTCTGTGGCTTAAGCCGTTCGCAAAACTACCGCCTGCAAAACATTCCATCGGCATCCATGTAATAGTCTCGCTTTCGGTTCCTTGTCTTACGTTGAGACTGCCCTTGTTGATGTCACTCACTCCTTCGTCCTGATGCTCGGTGGTCGGCTACTTGTGGGCCATATTGATCTTTTGTTTTTGATGGAAGTGAATTATTTCTGTCCAAGGTCCCCATGTAAAGTTCACCTGTGAGACGGAATGAGTCTCTCGGCAGTGAAATGAGATTAGAATTGGAAGCGTCGCCTGGGAGCTGTGGGTGTGGAGAAGCCGTACTCGAGTTTATTTGCGTGTGTAAGTAAAAAAGGCTATACGGGGGATCTTTGTTTTTGTAATAAACAAAGTCAAAGATCCCCGTGTATAGCCTTTACAGACCGTTGGGGCAATTGCTGTTAGTGAGCGACACTTATGAAGGCCGGCACGGCACACGAGGAGGTGGGTGGCCAACACCACGCCCGGTCGCCTTTGTCTCCCTAGTGGCGATGTTTGCACACCGCACCAGGTACTCACTTGAGGCCGAGTCGACCTAGGGGAGGCCTAGGACCGGTTCAGATAATCGTCACTGCTGGTGTTGGTCGTGAGCTGAAATCGAACTTGGTTCACTGTGTTCGTAGCGGCACTGCCGCTTTCCGCCCACCCACCAGTACATGTGTAAACAACACGCATGCACCAGCTTGGTAAAATGTTAAGCGCGTGAGAGGGGAGCGCCGCTTCCAATGACAGCACTGAGGCCTTCCCCCGCTGCCCATTGCCGCTAAGCGCAACGCTCCCAGCTACAGTTATTGCGCAGCCTGGGCAGAGCCGAGTTGGAGCGATTCTGGAACTGCCCAGGTGAGGTGGGGGGGGTGCTTTCACAATTGATATTTTACAACCCACAACATTTTTACTACGACATCTCCTTCCCCCCCACCGTCCCCCGTAAACTCCACCGCTGCCCCGTTTTTTTTGACCGCTGGCTTTCCCCGAACCTCCAGCGCTCGCTTGCGGTCGCTTAAACCTTTTAGACGTGAGGAGCGGTGTCGCTCCTGGTGTGCCACCCTGGTGTTGTTGGTGTCCACAGCTGGAGGTAAACTGCGCCAGCCCTCACGGTGACCTGCTAACGGCCTCCACGTCCTGCCCAGTGGTGCAGCAGCACTCGGAGCACCCCCATCCTCCACGGCCTGTACCGCGTGGAATATTGTCGCTACTTTTTGGATTTCTCAAAGTGTTGAGCCCTGTAAAGGTAATAAAGAGTTAAATTTCGATTTAAAGCTTTCGTGACTGCAGGGATTCATATTCTTGGTTATTTCGGTAAAGTCACGTAGAAGGGAATTAATAAAATAATAATTCAACAATAAAATTCAAGACGTTTCGATTGCAACACAAGCAGCAATCATCATCAGATGTGAAAACCACAGCAAAAAAATTTGAAAAAAGTGGCGTTTTTTTTCTTAAAAACCCTGATTGCTTGTGTTGAAATCGAAACGTCGTGAATTTTATTGTTTGATTTTTACTGTTTCCCTTCTACGTGACTTTACCGAAAGAACTAAGAATATGTAATAAAGAGTTATGGTATGCTATGGCTCGTGTGTGCTGCACCTCTTTCCCCCCGAGTTTGTGTGTTGTGTGGCATCTGCTGGGCGTGCCCAGCGACAAATATCCGTCTCTGGCGCCGGGGACCAAGAAGAGACAATGGCCGAGGTTGAAGAAAACGTTCACGAGCAGCTCGGCGAGGATCCCTCCACGAACACCACCCAGCCATGGGGATGCTCACTGCCAGTACCCCCTGCCTCGCAAGCAGTGGGTGGCTGCCTCGCGTTGTATCCGCACCGACCACGGCACGTGCAGTCACTGGCGTCCCCCGCCACTCGAAAATAAAATAACGAGACGGCCTGCGAACGGTGGAACACATCGCGAGCCTGTGGGCCTCTGTGTCCATAGGCCTCCGTCTATAGGGCTCAAGTCTATAGTTATCTTGAGTCTATACGTCGCCAAGTCTATATGCCTCTTGTGAGTATAGGTCTGAGTCTATAGGTCTCTATTGGTCGACGAGTTTATAGCTCTCTGAGCCTATAGGTTTCTGAGTCTATAGGTCTCAGATTCTGCGGGTCCCTGTGTTAACTAATTAACGCTCTAAGAGCACGAGTGGTGACAGCCCAGCGGCAGCGCGTTCACCGTTTTGTTGCAGAGGTGCACGGTTCGAATCCAGTGACCGCCCTGATTAATGCAGCGGGGCATAACTGATAATACTACGCGCCGTCTACGTCACTCGCAGCGGACATTGCAGTACCGTTCCATTTAGTTCCATTTATTTTGTATAGCCCTGTGAGCCATTCGGCTCTTGAATCGGGTGCAACCGCAACAAACAAAAACATGAACAAGAAAACATCTTAAAGTGATTGTGTGACTGAAAAACAGAAAATCCAGGAAAAAAACATCAAAGTATTCCTGAAATAGCACCGTACACCAACACCTGTGTGCAAAAATCCCAGTGGGATGCAAGTCAAACAACCACAAGACAACTGGATCACTGCTACACTACAGTCAGTAGAGCCTACCACGCCGTCCCCCGAGCAGCACTAGGACACTCTGACCACGCCATGGTCCACCTGATTCCTGCATACAGGCAGAAACTAAAACTCTGTAAACCTGCTGTGAGGACATCTAAACAGTGGACCAGTGAGGCTGTGGAAGATTTGCGGGCGTGCTTAGACTGTACTGACTGGGATATGTTCACGACTGCTACCAATAGTCTGGATGAACTCACAGAGGCCGTGACGTCCTACATCAGCTTCTGTGAGGACTGCTGTATCCCAACACGTACCAGGGTGAACTTTAACAACAATAAGCCCTGGTTCTCAGCAAAGCTCAGAAGGTTAAGGTTGGAGAAGGAGGAAGCGTTTAGGAGTGGGGATAGAGACAGATTCAAGGTGTCGAAGAACAGGTTTAGCAAAGCGGTGAGAGAGGCTAATACACCAGTTCTCTACTAACGACGACGCTGCATCTGTCTGGAGAGGGCTCAGGCAGATCACCAACTACAAACCCAGAGCCCCCCACACCACTAACGACTCCTGCCTAGCCAACGACCTGAACGAGTTCTACTGTAGATTTGAAAGACAATTGGACTGTCCTGAACCACCCCTTCCCACCCAAGAGGCCCCACCCCCCACCCATACTACAGAGACGACTCTCTCCTTTCAGGAGGGAGAAGTTAATAGACTTTTCAAGAGGCAGAATCCACGCAAAGCAGCCGGGCCGGACTCTGTCTCTCCAGCCACCCTCAGGCACTGCGCTCACCAGCTGTCTCCGGTGTTCACCTACATCTTTAACACCTCCGTGGAGACATGCCATGTACCAGCCTGTCTCAAGTCCTCCACCATCATCCCTGTGCCCAAAAAGCTAAGGCCAACAGGACTAAATGATTAAAGACCGGTCGCCCTTACATCTGTGGTAATGAAGTCTTTTGAGCGCCTGGTCCTGGCACACCTCAAAGCCATCACAAACCCTCTCTTGGACCCCCTTCAGTTTGCCTACAGAGCCAACAGGTCTGTGGACGACGCAGTTAACATGGCCCTCCACTTCACCCTACAGCATCTGGATGCCCCAGCATCCTACGCCAGGATCCTGTTTGTGGACTTCAGCTCTGCCTTCAACACCATCATCCCTGCCCTGCTTCAGGACAAGCTCTTTCAGCTGAACGTGCCCTACACCACCTGTAAATGGATCACAGACTTCCTGTCTGACAGGAAGCAGTGCGTTAAGCTGGGAACACAAATCTCTGACTCCAGGTCCATCAGCACCAGAACTCCTCAGGGCTGCGTCCTTTCCCCACTGCTCTTCTCCCTGTATACCAACAGCTGCACCTCCAATCATCTGTCCGTCAAACTCTTGAAGTTTGCGGACGACACCACCCTCATTGGGCTGATCTCTGGTGGGGATGAGTCTGACTATAGGTGGGAAGCTGAAAATCTGGTGACCTGGTGTAGCCAGAACAACTTAGAGCTAAATGCTTTAAAGACAGTTGAGATGGTTGTGGACTTCAGGAAGAATACAGCCCCACTCACCCCCATCACCCTGTTAGACTCCCCAGTCAAAATTGTAGAGTCCTTCCGCTTCCTGGGCACTATTCTCTCCCAGGACCTCAAGTGGGAACTGAACATCAGCTCCCTCACCAAGAGAGCTCAACAGAGGATGTACTTTCTACGGCAGCTGAAGAAATTAAACCTGCCAAAGACAATGATAGTGCAATTCTATACAGCGATCATTGAATCCATCCTCACCTCCTCCATAACCGTCTGGTACGCTGCTGCCACTGCCAAGGACAAGAGCAGACTGCAGCGTATCATCCACACTGCTGAGAAGGTAATTGCCTGCAATCTACCAACCCTCGAGGACCTGCACACGACAAGGACCATGAGGCGAGCGAGGAAGATTATGGCCGATTAATCCCACCCTGGACACTCTCTGTTTCAGCTACTCCCCTCCGGCAGAAGGCTTCGGTCCATCAGGACCAAAACCTCACGCCATAAAAACAGTTTCTTCCCATCTGCTGCTGGCCTGTTAAACAAGGCCAAGGGCTTACACTGATTTTAACATTTTATCTACATAATAACACCTTGCCGATATTAACTATGTTAACCTATTTGTATTTTATATTCGATATTTATTCAATTTTATATACTTCAGCCCCTTGGTGTTAGACTTTTAACCCTTATTATTATAGTAAGACTTGTTTAAAACTTATTTAAGATTTTAGATTCCTATATGTTGAATGTATGCACCATCCTGCCAAAGTAAATTCCGTGTCGGTGTGAACTTTCATGGCGAATAAACCCTTTCTGATTCTGATTCTAGGATTAAGGCCATCAGTCTAACTCCGTACTACAATAAACCAATGAGCCCGTGGTCCTTCAACGGTGGGGGGGGGGGGGGTCATAGCAAAAAGTTGACGAGCTCTCTGCTGAAGCCCTCTCGTGGCGAGCTGAAGAACCTTGACATTTACACCGAGCTCGCGGACGACATCGCTGCCGGCGGCGTCACGCGCTCGGATGATCGTGTCGCCCACTCCCCGGCCATCTCCGAGTGCTGCACACACCGAGTTTTCTGGATCATGTAGCTGCTGATGATAATGATGGAGCTGCCGCTACTGCGGATGGAGCTGCCACTACTGGCTGATGGAGCTGATGCCGTTCCTGATGCCGCTGATAATGATGCAGCTGCCGCTGATAATGATGTAGCTGCCGCTGATAATGATGTAGTTGCTGCTTATAATGATGTAGCTGCTGATGCCGCTGCTGCTCATGATGGTGTAGCTGCAGCTAATGATGTAGTTGCTTTTGATTTAAAGCTTTCGTGACTGCAGGGATTCATATTCTTGGTTCTTTCGGTAAAGTCACGTAGAAGGGAAACAATACAATAATAAAAATATTAAACAATAAAATTCTCACGACGTTTCGACTGCAACACAAGCAATCGTCATCAGGTGTGAAAAGCACAGCAAGAAAATTTGAAAAAAAGTGGCGGGTTTTTTATGTAAAAAAACCCCGCCACTTTTTACAAATTGCATTGTTTAATATTTTTGTATTATGTTGTTTCCCTTCTACGTGACTTTACCGAAAGAACCAAGAATAACAGGTCCCTGCAGGGTGGGCTGGTAGGACAAGTCTCTGCGCTGTCTATTGCTGATTTTACACCCAACAGCACGAGATTTCACTTCGTTAAAGTATTGAAAGGGGACGGACGGACACATTAATCTATTGCAGGCTGGTACACTCAGTTTACAACTTCGTTCCTACCAGTATAAAGATGTGGTTGCTGTTGCACGGCAACACGATGTGGGAGGGGGTAGGGACGGCATCGCGAGGCCGACTCCGGGTGAACGGAATGCGCCGTGTCACTGACCCCCCCGCCCCTCTACCGAGCGAAGTCCTCTTGTCAACAGAGACCCTGGGGGGCAGGGGCAGGGGGGGGCAGGGGCAGGGGGGGGCAGGGGCAGGGGGGGGCAGGGGCAGGGGGGGGCAGGGGCAGGGGGGGGCAGGGGCAGGGGGGGGCAGGGGCAGGGGGGGGCAGGGGCAGGGGGGGGCAGGCGGGGGCGGGGCGGGTGGCTTCTGTCCGCGCCTGTCGAGCCGTAGCGAGGACGCCACTCAGCAGCAGCAGCAGCTGCGGCCCGTCACGGAGATCTCTCCGCGCCTGAGACGTTGCTGCGTACTCGACTTCCGTCGCCACGGTCGGTTCAGTTTGCCACGTGGGGTGGTGGTGGTGGGTGGGTGGGTGGTGGTGGGTGGGTGGGTGGGGGGCATAGCATCGTGTGTAAGTGCCCCCCAATCCAGGAGAAGGGAGGTTAGGGAGAGTCCTCGGCAGGTGCCCCGATGTCGTGGTGGGAGCTGCCCCTCACCTCCTCGCTCTCGGCTCCCCTCCTCCTCCTCCTCGCCGCGTGCCTCCTGCTGGGATGGGCCCTGGGGAGGCCGCCTCGCAGTTCGTCCGGAGGGGAGACGCGGACGACGACGAGGAGGAGGAGGACGAGGGGAGGAGGAAGGATGGAGGTCTGGGCAGGCGACGACTTGGTCGACGACACTGACCCGGCGAAGGAGAAAACCGAGGGCGAGTCGCGGCTCCAACACGCGCTTGATATAGGTGCGCTGCGTAACCGGTAATCGCATGGGGGAAACCGGTTAATACCGGTTTGTCGCACACGTAGAGACCCCGAGAGCAGTGCGCACAACTTTGGTTTCAGTGAGTCCCGCAACGCGCCCATCCTTTGGACTTGACCGTCCGTCCGTCGCGGCCAGGCAGCCAGCCAGCAAAACTTTTATAAATGTAATACAGTCGGAGTTGTGACACGGAGACATTGGCATCGAGCTCGTGAGACACATTGCTGCTGCTGCTGCCATTGTACGCAAGAAGGGAAAGCCCTGGCGAGCCGGGAGATGGCCACCCCTCACACTCCAGAGGAAGATTGTGGAGTGTGAGGAGCGGTGGTGCAGCGGTTAGCGCTGCGCTGCGCTACGAACCTGGAGACCCGGGTTCGATTTCTGCTCACGGCCAACACCGGTGACGATTATCTGAATCGGTCCTAGGCTTCCCCTAGGTCGACTCAGCCTCAAATGAGTACCTGGTGCGGTGTGTAGTAAACATCGCCGCTAGGGAGACAAAGGCGGCCGGGCGTGGTGCTGGCAACCCACCCCCTCGTGTGCCGTTCCGGCCTTTCATTGGTGCTACTCGCTAACAGCACTTGCCCCAACAGTCTGTTAAGGCTACACGGGGAATCTTTGTCTTTTGTGATCCAGGAAGCCTCGCTGCTGCTGTCTGCATATCAGCAGCACGGCCACGAGCAGCAGCAGCAGCGCGTCTCTAACCACGATTCGTGCCGCGGCTACAGGGCCCGCCGAGGAGGCTGACGAGGAGGAGGGTGACGAGGTGGTGGAGGGTGACGAGGTGGAGGAGGGTGACGAGGTGGGGGAGGCGGGCTCCATCCCCTTCTCGCTGCCGCGGCACGGCGAGGCGGACATGCTGCGTCGCTCGCGGGAATTCTACGAGCTGATGGACGCGCGGCGCTCGGTCCGCCACTTCAGCGCCGAGCCCGTGCCGCTGGCTGTGATCCAGAACGTCGTCCGCACGGCCGGTGCGCGCGCGTGCCCCACGTGGCCCCTACGGCCGCGAGTGCCGGGCGGTTTGTTCCCTCGAGCGCAGCGGTGGCCAATTGCACCCACGCGGCAGAGAAGGGGTCCACTCCGGTGGTGTCTCTACGATCGCCCCCCAAACAGCCCCGTGACCCCACAACCCCCACCACCCCACCACCCCCACCACCCCCACCACCCCCACCACCCCTACCACCCCCCCCGGGTGGATTGGACCGCGTGATGCAGCATTCGGAGCACACTGGGCATCTGTGGATAAAGCGCTTCATAGCTCATCGGATTCCTCCAGGATATAAAAAAATTGGATTCTGGTGTATGTTGACCTTCTTTAGCACCGTACGTAGCCGATGGTGGAAATCGGAGGTGCGGGAGGACAACAAACAAAACAAAAAGCGATCTCAGATGTAGCTCTGGGATATCCGCTTCCTCGGACCATCCTCAGCCGTAATGGGAATTGCTCCCAGCCGATGTTCGCGGTGCCTGTTATTGTTTCTCCTGAGACCCACGACATCTTTCGCGATCATCCCACCCGTGGATCGCGATACCCGGATTGGCCACCGCTGGGATAGAGCGGCTGGAGATGATGGCCTTACCAAGACGCTGTATACGTCAAAGAGTATTCGTATTATGAGGACAGTGTTCGTGTTAAATCACGAGACAAAGATTCCATTCGGAATTCTCGCAGAACGGTGCAGCCCTTCGTGTTGTTCGAGAACAGTCCGCGGAATCGGATATCACAGGGCTACCTCTGAGATCCCTTCCTGTTCGACCGTCCTGTCTGATCCCACACGGTAGGGGCCGCGAGACAATCGATGTTTTTTCTGCGAGCTGGAGTTTTGACATATTAAGCGTGCAATCATTTTGTCCGTGGGCAGTCATTGGAGGCCGTCTATAAATGACGTCACGCACCTAGGGGTGGGGGAGGGGTCAGACTTTCTGACGATGTGTGACGGGGGGGGGGGGTGAGAAATGTGACGTCACATCAAAATGCGCAACTTTAAATAAATATAGACAACACGTTCTACTTAATTAAATAGACTTTTTGATAAATGTTTTCTCCTACAACATCATAATGCAGCGCCACATTAAACACGCACTGCATTGACAACAGTTTAAAGCGATTTGAAGCATGTTTTCTATATTTTTTGTGATGTCATATTTTGAGGGGGGTCTGACTTTTTGTGACGCCGTGTGACGAAGGGGGGAGGGGGTCAAAAATCGTCCAAAATCGCGTGACGTCATTTATGGACGGCCCCATTGGTAACCAGGCTGAGACCGTCAAACTCGCTACTACTGCGGCCCGCAGAGAGGATATCCTTGAGATCCCCCTCGAGGGGTTCACTGCTCTGCAAGAGTTCTGAATGGCTTCGTCTCCCACCCCAGCCCCACGCCTCAACTCACCCCACCAACCCAGTGTCTCCCCTACCAAAGCCCCCCACCCCCCAGTCTCCCATGCCCCACGCCCTCCCTATGCCTCCACCCACCCCTGCCTCCCCTCCCCAGTGCCCCCCCCCCCCACCAATGTCTCCCTACCCCCACCAATATCTCTCCTCCACCCCCGGTGGGAGCAGGCTCATCCCCGAGCGGGGCTCACACGGAGCCGTGGACCTTCGTGGTGGTGCGCGACGCCGCCACAAAGCGGCGCGTGCGTCTCGCCGTGGAGGCCGAGGAGGAGGTGAACTACCAGCGGCGCATGGGCGCCCGCTGGGTGCGCGACGTCCACCGCCTCTCGCGCAGGCACGTGGGGACAGCTGCCACTGGGGGTTACCTCCCCGCCCGCCCCCCCCCCCCCCCGCCCGCCTTGCGTGCGTGTGGAGACGTCGTAGCGCGAGTCCGCTCATCGTGCCGAGGAGAGGGGGGCAGCTCTCATCGGTTCGGGCTGTGAATCAAATTGAGCAGCAGCAGGAGCGTACTCTATACGGGGCGTACTTGTGGGGGCCGACGTCCACCCTACCGCCCTCGCTGGGCAGGTGGGGCGCGTCGTCCGCCCCTTCCACTCCCTCCTCCACCGCATCGATCGGCTCCAGCCGGGCCCCCGCCAATCGAGTGATTGGCCCCCCCGCGCTCGCGCCCTCTCGGAGGGACATAGCTAAACTGCTGGCTTACCGCCGTACGGAGTTAGCTCACACTCACCCGTGCGCACTGCAGCCAACGCTAACGTAAAGCCGCGAACGCACCCGTGGGCGATTATCCCCCGGCACGCGCGCACACGCTGCGGCTCCGCGCTCGCTGTCCCGCGCACACCGTCTCCCCACGCGGCCGCACCACACGCAAATCGCGGACACCACACCGATGTTCTGTACTAGCGTTTATTCGCGGCGCAAATACCCCCTACCTGGGGGGGGGGAATATTTTGCGATAAGAGCCTAGCCTAGCGCTGCCTACATGCCCCGTTACTCGCACGTCGTGCCACGTACCTCGAGGCTGCACTCGCTGGCGTCACACGTATGCTGCGAGCGGCTCGAGAGGGCAGGGAGCGGGTCTTGGCGGCCAAGTCGTTAGGTCGAAGGAAAAAGTGAAAATGGCCCCGGGCTACTCTTTTTATTCACTTAACTTCAAAGGCCCGGGGTGAGGTCGTACCGCGTGGCCAATCGTACGCTTATCTGTGATCGTTGTTGCACTTGTTGCTTTTCCTGCCTGGGCTATTCTCCTAACTTCAAAGGCCCAGGGTGATGTTGTACCTCGCAGCCAATCGTGCGCTTACCTGCGCCGTCCTCATGTTAACGTGTCCGTCTACTGCCACGGCGACGCCCATCACCGATTGTCTCTCGTTGCCCGTTGTCTGGAAGAGCGCCTGGCTGGCGAACACACACCCTGCGAGTGTGTATTCGGTATGGGGGCCGAGATGGGGGGGCGGCAGTGGCGCTGCGATTCTCCTGACCTCATGCTCTTCTTGCTTAATATTCCACCCTCAGTCCCCCTCCCCCCAATGTCGTGAATAACTTATTGCGGTTGGCTCAGTGACCCTTTGCCTTTCTGCGCCCAGACAATTTGAAGCCAATTTAGGGGCACCGCAATGTGACCTGTCCTGGGAGGGTCGGCCAATTTCCTGGCACCGGGAAACCGTGGGACTTTCCTCCTAGTGACCCTTCGGATGAAAACCCGTTGCGCCAGGCGATCCCCCACCAGGACACTACGTGTGTGCGCTGCGGGTGTTTGCTTAGGGTGGGGACCAGGGGGGAGTCGCGGCGCTTGCGGAGTTGCTCCGCGGCCATGGAATCACATACTCGATGCAGGGCGTACTCTATGCGGGGCATATTCTATACAGGGCGTACTCTATACAGGGCGTACTCTATACAGGGCGTACTCTATGCGGGGCGTACTCTATACGGGGCGTACTCTATACAGTGCGTACTCTATGCGGGGCGTACTTGATGCGGGGAATACTCTATGCAGAGCCTACTTTAACCCAATGTTCTTCACTAACTTTCAGAAGGGGGTCCCCCCACTTTCTCCAGTATGTGAGGGTGCAGCCATACAATCGAAACCATTGGGGGTGGGAGAGGGGTTTGTGACAACAGCACGACAATGATGATTGAGGGGGACTGCGTTTCACTCTTTGTGTATTGTCACGGGAGGACCGCAAGTCAGGGGCTGCACTGAAGGCCACCTGGGGCCACCTGCGGGCCTTGCAATGAAGAACACCGCTTTATACGGAGCTCAGCTGCGCAGAGTGTTTTGATGTTTTATTTTTTATTTTCCACTGGTTCATTGCCGGGTGTACACCCTCGTCACCATGGTGGTACACATTGTATCGACCCCGAAGGGATGAAAGGCCGAGTGAACGCCTGGCCTGGATTCGACCTCACGACCTTACAGTCGTTGTTTTGTAACCAACATCTCCACATGCGGTTTATATATAGGGGCTCATTGTTCGAAACATCATCCTTTAACGTTTTTTTCCCCTTTTCAAGGCCACACGCACGCGCACGCACATGCGGTGCCGTCGCTGACGCACGGGTCGATTGTTTTTGTTGGCGCTTGAGCACCGCTGCCAACGCAGCAGCAGCATCACCGAACACGACTCGCTTACTGTGGAGTGGTCGAGGCTGTGCCCTGCGTGCGCAGGAGCGGTGACGCAACGGTGAGCGCACTGCGCTTCGATTCCCACTCGCTGCCAACACCAGTGACGATTATCTGAACCGGTCCTGGACATCTCCTAGTTCGACTCAGCCTCGCAGTGGCGAGATGTTATCTGCATCGCCTTGTATATAGGTCGTAGTAGGTTCGAATCGACCCTGATGCCTTTATCGATTTTTTTTGGGCCCTCCGGTTTTTTCCCTCCATGCGAAATATTTCCATGTGAAAAGCCACTTCGTTGAGCTATCATTTGTCGCCAGGTCGCTTCTGAAAAAGAGCTACATAGCTCAGTGGGCCTTACCTGGTAAAATAAAAAGTTATTAATGTTTAAATGAGTACCTGGTGCGGTGTGTAAATATCACCACTGGGGAGACAAAGGCCGTCAGGTGTGGTGATGGCCACCCACCCCCTCGTGTGCCATGCCGGTCTCCCGAGGTGCTCGCGAACAACATTTACCCCAACAGTCTGTTGAAGGCTATACGGCTAATAATTGTATGGACGAACTTCTTTCACTCAATGGTATGGCAATACAGGGGGGGGATCTTTGTGTTGTCTACCTACCCAGCCTGTCCTGGCAGAAGCCCTACCTGGAGACGGCCCCGTACCTCATCGTGGTGTTCAAGCAGGTGTACGGCACGCGGCCCCACGACGGGAGCCGCGTGGTTCACTACTACAACGAGATCAGCACATCCATTGCGTGCGGCATCCTGCTGGCAGCCCTGCAGGTGAGGACGGGGGTGGCGGTGCGACCTCAAAACGGGGGCACACTCGGGCGACGACGACCACCACGTCAGCTGTCGATCCCTTGCACATCCGCCAAGGTTGCGAGATCCCTTGCACATCCGCCAAGGTTGCGAGATCCCTTGCACATCCGCCAAGGTTGCGAGATGGCAGTATTAGCTGTTAAAGCAAACGCAGTTTGCTTTAACAAAGAGGGGAAGGAAGCTTTGTTTATTTTACAGCGTAATGATCATTTGGTGTTTACGCACTTCTCCTTGGTCTCGTTGTCCTGCCACCACACAGTCCTCTGTTTATCAAGTTACAGGGAGGGGAAAAAAGTATTTGATCCCCTGCTGATTTTGTACGTTTGCCCACTGACAAAGAAATGATCAGTCTATAATTTTAATGGTAGGTTTATTTGAACAGTGAGAGACAAGAATAGCAACAACAAAATCCAGAAAAACGCAGGTCAAAAGTGTTATAAATTGATTTGCATTTTAATGAGGGAAATAAGTATTTGACCCCCTCTCAATCAGAAAGATTTCTGGCTCCCAGGTGTATTTTATACAGATAACGAGCTGAGATTAAGAGCACATTCTTAAAGGGGGTGCTCCTAATCTCAGCTTGTTACCTGTATAAAAGACACCTGTCCACAGAAGCAATCAATCAATCAGATTCCAAACTCCACCATGGCCAAGACTAAAGAGCTCTCCAAGGATGTCAGGGACAAGATTGTAGACCTACACAAGGCTGGAATGGGCTACAAGACCATTGCCAAGCTGCTTGGTGAGAAGGTGACAACAGTTGGTGCGATTATTCGCAAATGGAAGAAACACAAAATAACTGTCAATCTCCCTGGGCCTGGGGCTCCATGCAAGATCTCACCTCGTGGAGTTACAATGATCATGAGAACGGTGAGGAATCAGCCCAGAACTACACGGGAGGATCTTGTCAATGATCTCAAGGCAGCTGGGACCATAGTCACCAAGAAAACAATTGGTAACACACTACGCCGTGAAGGACGGAAATCCTGCAGCGCCCGCAAGGTGCCCCTGCTCAAGAAAGCACATATACATGCCCGTCTGAAGTTTCCAATGAACATCTGAATTATTCAGAGGACAACTGGGTGAAAGTGTTGTGGTCAGATGAGACCAAAATGGAGCTCTTTGGCATCAACTCAACTCGCCGTGTTTGGAGGAGGAGGAATGCTGCCTATGACCCCAAGAACACCATCCCCACCGTCAAACATGGAGGTGGAAACATGCTTTGGGGGGGTGTTTTTCTGCTAAGGGGACAGGACAACTTCACCACATCAAAGGGACGATGGACGGGGCCATGTACCGTCAAATCTTTGGTGAGAACCTCCTTCCCTCAGCCAGGGCATTGAAAATGGGTCGTGGATGGGTATTCCAGCATGACAATGACCCAAAACACACGGCCAAGGCAACAAAGGAGTGGCTCAAGAAGAAGCACATTAAGGTCCTGGAGTGGCCTAGCCAGTCTCCAGACCTTAATCCCATAGAAAACCTGTGGAGGGAGCTGAAGGTTCGATTGCCAAACGTCAGCCTCGAAACCTTAATGACTTGGAGAAGATCTGCATAGAAGAGTGGGACAAAATCCCTCCTGAGATGTGTGCAAACCTGGTGGCCAACTACAAGAAACGTCTGACCTCTGATTGCCAACAAGGGTTTTGCCACCAAGTACTAAGTCATGTTTTGCAGAGGGGTCAAATACTTATTTCCCTAATTAAAATGCAATTCAATTTATAACATTTTTGACATGCGTTTTTCTGGATTTTTTTGTTGTTATTCTGTCTCTCACTGTTCAAATAAACCAACCATTAATATTATAGACTGATCATTTCTTTGTCAGTGGGCAAACGTACAAAATCAGCAGGGGATCAAATACTTTTTTTCCATTATTGTATGTGGCACCTGCCAGCAGTGGATGGACCATGGCACATGATGATGTAGCCCGATCCTGGCAAGCTCCTCCCGCGCACGGCACCTGCAGGAGCCGACGTGCCAACAAGACACTCCACGCTCCGTGGCCCGCCGCAATGTCGCGAGTAGCCCCACGTCCCCACGCCGAGTCTCTAGCTGCCCGCTGCCATTCGAGGGAGATGTGAACGCATCTGCCTTGACCCATCTCTGTCCACGCTGGTGGTGGCGGCGGCGAGGTTTTTTGGCAACATCCCTGGCAGTTGTGCCGAGCCGTGATCCCCACGTTCCCGATCGTAATGTCTTCCAAACCGTTTTGATTTCTGCGGCTCGGAAGCTTTTCGTTTGATCCGTTTAAATCGTGTCCCCCTTGGCCCCCCCACGCCGCTGCGCAGAACGTGGGGCTGGCGACGCTGACGTCCACGCCGCTGAACTGTGGCGCGCGACTCCGGGAGCTCCTCCGCCGCCCGGACAATGAGAAGCTGCTGATGCTGCTGCCCGTGGGTTTCCCCGCGCGCGGCGCCACCGTGCCCAACCTCGCGCGCAAGCCGCTCGACGACATCATGGTCCTCGTCTGAGAGCGAGCGAGCGAGCGAGCGGGAACTAGTTGGGGCTGTGATGCGCGAACACTAAGGACTGCCACGCTCGCCCTCGTGTATTCGACGTGGAGAGTATTGCTCACCCGTGTGGGGACGCAGTGCTCTCGCACTCGAGTTATCGACACACAGCTGACCATTGCAATGCGTGCCATCTCGGGTACGCTGAAGTAGACGCCGACCCAGCGGCTCCCGGTGTTCACCCACCTCGCTCCGCCACAAATCCCATCCGGGAGTACCAAAAAATTATCGTCAACCCGCGCCTTCCGGCACGTTGGAATATAAACCCAGCGCCGCTGATCCACCTAAAATCACGCTATCCATTCTGGATCACAGCAGCCTCGTTCCAAGCCACAAATACAAATGGAGTCGAGAGATAGAAGGGAGTCTGGACTGCGCCCGATGTCAAAAATTAACATCCCGTTTCAATCTTCCACACCGCCAATGGTCGACCATTAACCGAATCAGGACCGGGGCATGTGGCCGATGCGGCCACCCGATGCACAAATGGCGCATCAAAGATTCGGCGGTATGCGAGTGCGGCCACGAATCCCAAACCATCGACCCACATTATAAAGACTCTCCTGCTGTTGCCTTCACTCATTTAAAGCAGGAATGGACGAGAGATCCACTCTGCTTCCAAACAGACAACCGAGTGGATAACAAATCTAAAATTACATCTGTAATCTGCCACTATTAATCCATACGAAACATGAATAGAGCGAGTGAGCGACCTACGACGCTGGCGCAAACTCACGGAGAGAGGCAGACGGGGAGCACTAGACACGTTTCGGCAGCAGCGCGCGGCCATTGCGAGTTGCTTTATAAACCGGGAACCCGTTTATGAAGGTACTCACCTGGCGAGCGAGCAACACTGCGGGGTCACGCGCACAACAGGACGGCCCCAACTTCGATAAACCGAAAAGGGGAGGAAAAAATCAGCGGTTCGGTGCCACGTCGGCATCAGCACACGAGGGCTGATGGCGACATTCAAAGCGGCATGAATACTGAATCAGAGGGCCCGTATCTACAAAGTCGCATCCTGGTCCTCTTATCGCGACGACCACAATTATCGTTCCCGTGCACCCCGGACATCGCCGCCGTTGGCGGCGTCAAGAAACCCCTTCTGCTGGTTTAACACGCACGCTGTCGCCTGATGATGCTAGCTGCAATTACTAGCGAATTGTAAATGTCATAGTGGTTTTACTCCCAAACACACGGGTGTGCTGTACTAGTAACGTGACAAACCTTGCTAATTGGCTGTGTCGGCTGGTGGCAGATTTAACGACATTTATATTGATCTAACCCAAAAAACCTGTATTATGGACCCTTCTGCCAGATTGTCTGTTTCCTTTCGCAGTGTTCAACCACGATATTGCCGGGCCTCCTCCTGTCCGACCACCCCCACCTCCTCGCACTGCTCCACATTGGAATTCCTTCCCATCATCTCCTTTACCCCCGACTTCTTATAACCCTCGCTCGAGTCGTCGCACGTGTAAAATGTTGCCTGCCATGCTAAAGAGTTCCTTCCATCACAGGCTGTGGAATTCCGTATTCCCAAATACCTCACCCTGTCTGCTGCCCCCAACGTAGCTGCACGTGGCTGTGTTTATTACTTCACGTTGTACGATACCAGCGAGTTGCCATTTTACCCGTGGCGATTATGCAAACCCGGTCTCTGGGTTCAATAAGGCTCATTAGTTGTACGCACATTGTACAAATTGGCGGATAAAACGCATTCGTCGTAACATTGTGGAGATTCGCCCCTGGTAATACAACGGTGTATTAACCAATTGCCAGGCGCCTGGTTATTACAGCGTACAAATACAAACATGCCAGGCGTGGTCTGGTCATTACATCTGGTAAGTACAGCAGTGTAATAACCGCGCGAATACCAGGCGCCGTCTGCCTCACAGTGGACATTAAAAGATCCCCTGACATTCGCAAGAGTAGTCCATTGTGTACCCGTGTCACGGTCCAAATTTGACAGGTTACACCGCAAATTGCTCACTTGGGAATACGCACGGCGACCTCACCCCCCCCCCCCCCCCCCCGTCGGGAACACTCCGGAAGGCTGCATCTGTGAAACCCATGGGGCGGCGCCTTCCTTCATGATCACCACCTATGCGCCATAAAGAACCATAGCACCGATGCTAAAATGTGCGAATTGCTTATTATCATCATCATCTTTATAATAAAGGCGACAACCGTAAACGTGGTGCGAATCGCGGGGGGGGGAGAGAGAGAGAGAGAGGACGGGCGAAGCCACGCGCGTTCCCGTTTGCGACTGCTCCCGCGAGTGGATCCCCACCACCGCGGTGGGGATCCACTCGCCTCCGCTGTCGGGCGACGGCCATCGGGGGGAGGAGTGGGGATCACGAGTCGAAGGTGGGTGGCGGGGACCGACGCGGAGCAGCGAGGAGAACGCGCCGGCAGGGCGTGCCGGGAAGCCGCTGGTGCGCTGCGGCGTGGTGACGGCTCGGCACAGGGCGAGCGTTTCCGCGAAGGCCTCGATTCGCGACGGGACACGCGCCGGGCCGCAACGGAGCACATTCGCGCATAAAAATCTCTCGAGCCCCGTCCATGTTTGCATCCCTCAAGTTATATTTGCATGGCAGACAAGTGTGTAAGCAACAAGCAGCGGCTGCCACCCTCACCGCTTCATCACCGACTATACACACACACATACACCGCGGGATTTCGATTCACTACATTCACCCCCTGGACTCCAGCGTTTCTACGAGCCCTGGACGAGCACAGGCTTCACAAACCCTTGCGTCTAACGTCGTGCCCCTCGCATCATCACAACGTGGCGCGCGCGCGTGCGTGCGTGTGTGGAACATAATATAAAAGATTTCTTGGCACCCACGGACATTAAGCTTGCATGCACCACGGTTTGTTTGGTTTTCACTCGCTGTGCTTATTGCAACGACAGAAACAAAATTTCGCAGACCGCTCGGTCAAAAACACAAAACGCGCACCCTCTCCATCGTTCCCCGAGTCCGTGAAAGACGCCGCCATTGCCGCCGCCATTGCCGCCGCCATTGCGCACGCGGCAGCGACCGGAGTCGTCTCGCTCGATCCTTGCTGTAGAGATCGTGGCAAACTCGGTGCGGTCATTTATTTGGTTTATGAATGGGGATAAATCCTTGTCATTTGCTGTCTCCTACCGGTCACACAGCTCATACATTGGCCAATACTTCATCGTGTCCACAGACAGACAGACTCTTGTTATGTTGGAAGTGGCAATTTCCCTTTCACGCCGCCAACTGCGATCGATAAAAAAAACACATTAATTCGGCACGTAACGTCCGCCACGGCAGATAGTTTGCCCCCAGCGGCGAAGGCCGTGATGCAAGCTCGGTGAACGTTTACCAACGACGCTGACCGCGAGCACTTCCACGTCACCTTCCGACTCTGCCTCACGAAAACACGACCCGAGCAAAAAGTCTAAATGACAAACCTATGAAAAAAGGAATTAAAAAGATGACCTCTCTGCACCAAAGCAGCTCCCAGCGCGACTACAGTTCACCGGATCAAAGTCACCGGCTCGGAGCAACAACTCTTAATGCGCCCTACCACGGTGCGGGCCTCCGCGTTGCCGCGGCCTGGACCGCGGTCGAAAATCCCAGCGAAAAGAGCGCGGCAAAGCGGCGGCTCATCCCTCGAACACTCCGTGCTGCTCCTCCCCAGCGGCCTCCCCCAGAGGCTTCAGGGTGTGCATCTCCTTCTTGTGGTGCGCCAGCATGTAGAAGCGCGAGAAGTGCTTGCCGCACACCTCGCACGCGAACGTCTCGCCGCGGTGGATACGCTTGTGCCGCGACAGGTTGTGCGACAGCGAGAAGGTCTTGCCGCACAGCTCGCAGGAGAAGGGCTTCTCGCCCGTGTGCTTGCGCATGTGCAACGCCAGCAAGCACTGGTAGCGGAAGCTAGCCCGGCACACGTGGCACTGCAGCTGCCCGCACCGCCCGCCATGCTGCGCCGTCGCTGCCGCCTTCTTCGCCCGGCTGCCACCGCCGCCGGCCGCGTCGCCGCGCGTGGGGTGCGAGGGGGTCGGCGCCGCCCCCCCCCGCGTGCCATGCGGCTCCAGGTCCCCCGCGCTGAACTGGGCGCCGGCGGGGCCCGGCAGCTGGGAGTAGGTGAAGCCGTACCAGCCCCGGGGCTCCGCCCACTCGGCGGCTGGGAAAAAGACGGGGGGAAGGGGTTAGAATGCAAAGCTACGTGGCGGCGTGCCCAGTACCCATCGCGCGTTTGGCGGGGGTCTCGCACTCGATGCGTTTCATCATTGGATTTTTTTTTTGGTTAAGCCGCGTAGCAATGATACGGCCCAATTTGTGCCGTGAGACACTCTCACACACCCAACACGGCCAAGTGAATTAAGTGGCCGCGTGTACAAGCGTTCAACATGCCGATTATCACTTGTTGCAGCTCACCGGTAAGTTTAAGAACAAATCTCACATCCAAATTTAGCAGCTATCACGTGTAATTTTTTCAATGGTATTTGTTTGGCGACGCTGCGTCATGCAAGTCGATTAGCGCGTGTAAATCGCCGCCCGAAGTGCCCCCCCCCCCACCCTCCCTCCCCACAATCCCTGGCGTCAGGGACGGTGGCTCCATCGCGAACGCAAAAGCGTGATCGTCGTGGTGAGAGGGGCAGCACGCGAGCGCGTCGCGCCTCTGGGTGGACGCACGCTCACATCGCTGCTGGCTCGCGTTGCCGGACGCCGACAGGCTGCGCGCGCTCGGGCACGCGTGCAGCTCCCGCCGCTCGCACGGGAGCCATCCGAGCGCCGCTCCGTCGTCGCCGCTGCCGCCTCCGCCGCCCCCCACGGTCCGCGACTCCGAGCCGTTAGCCGAGGCGCGCTGGCGCACGCCCGCACGGCCGCTCCCTCCCTCCCCCGCGGCGCCGGCGAACGGCCGCCACGCCGGGAACCCCCGGGGTGCCGGGGCCTTCCTCGCCGGGCCGTGTGGAGGGGTCCCCCCGTCGGCCGCGTGGCGCAGGGGCTCGCTGCCCTCTTTTTTCAAGTCACCTGCAAAGAGAGAAGCGCAGAGCCCACTTGACCGCGAGCTCAGTCTCGGATGATAATCTTCACCCGAGCGCGTAGGTGTTGGCAGCCGAGGTTACGATTTCACAATTGATTTAGTGCGGTTATGGCCATGTAATGGCCTGCTCAAATTCGTGTCGTTCAGAACCTCCACCAACCCGACGCAGCCAAAGGAATGAAAATGTGAGATATTATTGTTTCAGCTCACTCACCGGTGAGTTGAAAAACAATTCTCATTTGGCCACAATTAGATGTGTTGCTTGAAACTGCGCCAGGCATCTGCAGGTCAAGATTCAATAAGTCGGAATAAAAATCGCGTCTCGCGACCTGACAGAGTGTGCGGGCAGAGAGTGTGCGGGCAGGGAGTGTGCGGGCAGAGAGTGTGCGGGCAGAGAGTGTGCGGGCAGAGTGTGCGGGCAGAGAGTGTTTACACGCGTTGCCGGCGTTCTTCATGTCGTCCGCCTTCACGTCCACGTCCCAGTTGGCTTCACCGTCGTCGCTCTCTTCTCCCACCCCGGTGTCTCCCTCCACGTGCCAGTCTTCCAGCTCTGGGTCACAGATCACACTTCGCTTAGTTCGATCTAGCCAATCAACAAGAGCTCTGTGTAGGCCGACAATGAACCACACTTTCTGTGGATGAGAAACCCGTGAAATGGAAATTCAAGAGGCCGGGTGGCACAGGGGTCCGAGCGCAGAGTTGGTACTGCCGGTGACTAAAACTGGGTTCTCAAGGGCAGTGAGTTGATGGTCTTGGTCAACACCTGCTAAAAAAAACAAAGGAGAAATTTGGCTTTCCAGTGCATAAATTCTAGCTCTGTAAATTCAACAACGGGATGAGCATCACTCTCAGTGGCACGGTGGACAAAACAGTGCTACCCCCTACTATGTGAAACAGAGGTCGTGGGGATCTCAGAGGTAGCTCCGAGAACTCCGATTCTGCAGGCCGTTCTCCAACGCTAAGTGTTGCAATGCTCTGCGTGAGTCCGTAAACGGATTCTGTCCCGTGCCTAGATGTCGCCGACAACGTAAACCGGATAAAAATTTACGACGTGTTTTTTCTTCCTCCATCATCAAGGTTGACGACTGACTCACTGCCTGTACACTCACTGCCTGTACACTCGCTATCTGTACACTCGCTGCCTGTACACTCACTGCCTGTACACTCACTGCCCGTACACTCACTGTCGTCTCGCCCTGTACACTCACTGCCCGTACACTCACTGCCCGTACACTCACTGCCTGTACACTCACTGCCCGTACACTCACTGCCTGTACACTCACTGCCTGTACACTCACTGCCGCCTCGCCCCGTACACTCACTGCCCGTACACTCACTGCCTGTACACTCACTGACCGTACACTCACTGCCTGTACACTCACTGCCTGTACACTCACTGCCTGTACACTCACTGCCGGTACATTCACTGCCCGCACACTCACTGCCTGTACACTCACTGACCGTACACTCACTGCCCGCACACTCGCTGCCCGTACACTCGCTGCCCGCACACTCACTGCCCGCACACTCACTGCCGGTACACTCACTGCCTGTACACTCACTGCCTGTACACTTACTGCCCGTACACTCACTGCCCGTACACTCGCTGCCCGTACACTCACTGCCTGTACACTCACTGCCCGTACACTCACTGCCCGTACACTCGCTGCCCGTACACTCGCTGCCCGCACACTCACTGCCGGTACACTCACTGCCCGTAGACTCACTGCCTGTACACTCACTGCCGCCTCGCCCTGTACACTCACTGCCTGTACACTCACTGCCCGTACACTCACTGCCCGCACACTCACTGCCTGTACACTCACTGCCGGTACACTCACTGCCCGTACACTCACTGCCCGCACACTCACTGCCTGTACACTCACTGCCGGTACACTCACTGCCCGTACACTCACTGCCTGTACACTCACTGCCGGTACACTCACTGCCGGTACACTCACTGCCCGTACACTCACTGCCGCCTCGCCCTGTACACTCACTGCCCGTACACTCACTGCCTGTACACTCACTGCCGGTACACTCACTACCTGTACACTCACTGCCTGTACACTCACTGCCTGTACACTCACTGCCCGTACACTCACTACCTGTACACTCACTGCCTGTACACTCACTGCCCGTACACTCACTGCCACCTCGCCCTGTACACTCACTGCCCGTACACTCACTGCCCGTACACTCACTGCCGCCTCACCCTGTACACTCTCTGCCTGTACACTCTCTGCCTGTACACTCTCTGCCTGTACACTCACTGCCTGTACACTCACTGCCGCCTCGCCCTGTACACTCACTGCCCGTACACTCTCTGCCCTGGATGCCGTACCTTCGTACGCTTGCTCCGTCTTGATGTTCGTCGTCTCCCAGAGGCTGTTGTTGTCCTGCGCGTCGGAGTTCTCCTGCAGTTCCCCCGAGGCTTCAGTCAAGTCGTGGGCCCCGTCGTGGGGCCCGTCGTGGGGCCCGTCGTGGTCCCCGTCGTGGTCCCCGTCGTGGGCCCCGTCGTAGGCCGAACCATCTCCCGCTTCTGTCAGCGCAAACGCCAGGTGTCACAACAGCGGCCTAAAAAAATCGCACGCGAGCAGCCTGGAGCACGCGGCACCGCGGCAAAGCGTGGTACGGCGCAGGCGTGGCCAGATTTCCTGACCCCAAGAGGCAGCGACGTTGCAGAGGTCCGCCGTTCGAATCCGGCAGGACTCCCTGGTTACTTCTGCGGTGCGTGTTAACCGTAATTACTACACATCGTGTGTTTCACAGCGTACCCCTGACATTCCAAATAATCCCTGACGATCCAAATGCGTAGGCCATTGTGTGCCACCATCATATCCAAATTGTCCAAATTCAAAAATTGCCAGTATTACGCATGGGAATCATCACTCCCGACTGGTGCCCAAGTCACTTTGTGCCACACAAGGGACCGCTGCCAGTGGGGGTGGCCTTTGAATGCTTGAGATGCGATGTAAAGCGCTTTGAGTTGCCCAGACATTTCAGCAAGATCCATGCGAATGAAAAAGATCGATAGTTTGCATGGCCGAGAGTCACAAGACACAGAGTGGTGGTCATGTGGGGATGGTCATGCGGGTCAGTTTGCTCGCGCTGGTTGGCCAATTGTTAAACCCAGACATTACAAATACAGGAACGCGTCGCGGAATGTTGAGCGTAAAACCGCCTGTCATAAAGGTTCAGGTTCTACGTTCAACAATAGATATCAAATGAGAGATGGGCAAGAGGGGCATGCGAGTGAGTAGTAGAGGCATTCACCCACGAAACAAAGATCCTTCGTGCATCCTACATAGATTGTGGAGCAAGTGCTTTTAGCGAGTACCTTTTAAGGTCATAATGGCGCATGATGGAGTGGTGTGGCCGAGACCAAGGCCGACTGCAATTGTGTCCTCGGTGCTAACGTTACAAACGGCGCTAGGTGCCCCACGTTTTCACCACGGCCCCTACAACTAAACACCACCACCACCGATATCACAACCCGCGCTCTTCGTTGCCCTAAATCTGCAGCCGACTCCTCACGTTGACGGTGACGGTGCTGGCTGAGGTCGAACGCCGCGCACCTGAGCCAGCGTTATCCTGCACGGTAACGCCGTCCCCCGCTCCGCCGTCGTCCAGCGTGCCGCCGTACAGCGCCGGCTCCAGGCGGGTGAACCGCTCCGCCGACTGCAGAAGCTCCTGGCTCAGACTGTTGAGCATCACCACGATGGCGTCCAGGAGGCCGCTCAGGAACGGCCGCACCGCCGACACTTGACCACCCGGCGAGCCCGGCACGACGCCGCCACCGCCGTCCCGGCACGTGGGGGCAGACGCCTCGGCCACGCGGCGCAACACGGCGTAGAAGGCGAAGGGCAAGCGTTCGCGCGCGGCGGCGAACAGCTCGGCACGCACGTGCGAGTGCTCGGCGCACGCCAGCAGCGCCTCGTAGTCGCCGATGCCGAGCTCGCGATTCACCGCCTCCGCCACGCTCATGCTCATGCCTTGAGCCGCAAGCCATGCGGGGAAGTCGTGCCGCGGGTTCACAGACCCCCCCACCGCCGCCGCCACCGCCACTGCTGCCGCCATCGCTCAGTCACTGGCTTCCTGGTCACCGCTCGCTGACACGGGAAGGAAGGGGAATGTGACGGAAGATGCTGTAGAGGAAGACATGTTTTGCGGTTGTGCCGTACCAGCGCGTCTCCGACGTGTTTTTGGGTTGTGCCATGTGTTGATCGGCACGATGTCAGATGTTTTTGCTGCGCTTGATGCGGGCAGCAAAACATCAGACATCGCGCCAAACAACAGAGAGGAAAAGACGGTCCCTTCCATTGCCAGTTTCAAGTTACGAGACGAATAACTAATTCTGAACTCTCGCCGAGCAGAGCAAACCACAGAAGTTGGATATTACAAAGCTACCTGCGAGATCCCTGTTTCATGTGACCTTTGGGTCTGCACAACAGGAGGGGGTGAAAGCACTTTCCCATCAGCACTGATACCGAGCGAAATGTTCATCACAAGGTCAACTTTAACAGCTCGTGGCAATTGTAAACTGTCAATGTAAACATGTGCTCAGGTTTGTATTGATTGCCACCTTGTATTTTTTTTACTGTTATAGTCATGGTAAAATAAGAATTCTCAGCAATAAGGAAGGGTATGGTCTCATTCATTGGTAAATATCAGTGGCGATGTGTTATATAAATGATATGTGCTCCACACCGTACCACCTCGCATTCCCCAAGTGAATTCTCAGGTTTATAACTTCAGCTGGCTTGGGTGGTAAGGACTGTCTCCGTATCAAACCCCTGCGAAAACAGTGAGATGATAAACCACCTCATGTCCCTGTAAACATAAGACATGGACACCTTGATTCCGAGTGCTAAGCAAGAAACAGGCTGTTGTAAGTGACCCCCACGACATTAAGGGGGCGAGGCTATGAGTTGAAGCCATGTCGATGAGTATGACTAATGTGCCGTGTTACCAAGATAACATAGAATGCGTTACCAGGTCGACACGGAGAATGCGTTACCAGATTGATGACACGAGAGGTGTGCGTAACCAGGTTAACAGAGAAGCGACGTTATCAGTAAGGATACATCACGTTACCATGTTAACGATATCACACGCTATTATATTGACAGAGACCCTACGTTAGCAGGTTAAAAGAGACCCAACGTTGCCATGTTAACACAGATAACTCACTTTTATTATATTTAGCGACCCTCCGTCAGCAGGTTAACACAGAGTCCAGATTATCATGTTAACACAGAGACCTCAAGTTACCATTTTAACAGAGACTCTACGTTACCAGGTTTACACAGAGATCGCCTTACCAGGTTAACACAGACTACGTTACCAAGTTAACACAGAGATCGCTTTACCAGGTTAACACATAGATCGCGTTACCAAGTTAACACAGAGATCGCGTTACCAGGTTAACACAGAGCTAGCGTTACCAAGTTAACACAGAGATCGCGTTACCAGGTTAACAAAGATCACGTTACCAGGTTAACACAGAGATCGCGTTACTAGGTTAACACAGAGATCGCGTTACCAGGTTAACACAGAGATCGCGTTACCAGGTTAACACAGAGCTAGCGTCACCAGGTTAACACAGAGATCGCGTTACCAGGATAACACAGACTACGTTACCAGGTTAACAGAGATCGCGTTACCAGGATAACAGAGATCGCATTACCAGGTTAACACAGACTACGTTACCAGGTTAACAAAGATCGCGTTACCAGGTTAACAAAGATCACGTTACCAGGTTAACACAGAGATCGCGTTACTAGGTTAACACAAAGATCGCGTTACCAGGTTAACACAGAGATCGCGTTACCAGGTTAACACAGAGATCACGTTACCAGGTTAACACAGAGCTAGCGTCACCAGGTTAACACAGAGATCGCGTTACCAGGATAACACAGACTACGTTACCAGGTTAACAGAGATCGCGTTACCAGGTTAACACAGAGATCGCGTTACCGGGTTAACACAGACTACGTTACCAGGTTAACACAGACTACGTTACCAGGTTAACACAGACTACGTTACCAGATTAAGAGATCGCGTTACCAGGTTAACACGGAGATCGCGTTACCAGGTTAACACAGACTACGTTACCAGGTTAACACAGACTACGTTACCAGGGTTACCAGGTTAACATGGAGATCGCGTTACCAGGTTAACACAGACTACGTTACCAAGTTAACAGACTACGTTACCAGGGTTACCAGCTTATCGCGTTACCAAGCGCCGGGGACTTCAGCTGCGAAGAGGCCTTGGGCCTACCGCTCCTCTCGCTCTCAGTGATGGCGACCAGGCCACGCCCACAAAGGCGCAACCCCGCCCCCTTCACCCCAACTCCCGCCCCCTCCACCCCAACTCCCGCCCCCTCCACCCCAACTCCCACTCCCTCCACCCCAACTCCCGCCCCCTCCACGCCAACTCCCGCCCCCTCCACGCCAACTCCCGCCCCCTCCACCCCAACTCCCGCCCCCTCCACCCCAACTCCCGCCCCCTTCCACCCCAACTCCCGCCCCCCTCCACCCCAACTCCCCGCCCCCCTCCACGCCAACTCCCGCCCCCCTCCACCCCAACTCCCGCCCCCTCCAACCCAACTCCCGCCCCCTCCACCCCAACTCTCGCCCCTTCCACCCCAACTCCCGCCCCCCTCCACCCCAACTCCCGCCCCCCTCCACCCCAACGCAGTTTCAGTTCAGTTTATTTTGGTATAGCCCTGTGAGCCATTCGGCTCTTGAATCGGGTGCAACCACAACAAACAAAAAAACAAAAACACGAACAATAAAAACATCTTAAAGCGACTATGTGACTGTGCAAACAGAAAATCCATGAAAAAAAAACAGCAAAATATTCCTGAAAAAAGCACCGTACACCAACGCTGTCTGAAAAAAATCCCAAGTCAAACAACAACAACCACAAAAACTTCGATTAAGGCCATCAGTCTAACACCGTACTACAACAAAACAAACATGTCCAAACCAAAAAAACTTTTCCAAATCACCAAAAAATAAAGCCATAATTGCAACGTAACAGTGATCGCAGGGACTGTGACCGAATTTTTACAATAAACTACATAAATAACATGTAACACCCAATCCTAGAGCCATAGCTGGCTGCATGAGTTACTCCACAACAACAAAAGCATCGGTCGGAGTATCAAATTTTTCAATGCACCTTTAAGATCAGCACGCTAAATCAAAATACAAATAATACTTTGCAGCGTCATCCGGAGCGAAACATTTTATTTTATTTTACGCCAATGAATAGCAGTGGCAGCTAGGGGTGTACAACTCCTCTAGAGCAGTTTTAAGAGAATATCTCATTGGTAGCGATTCAAGTTGCAGTTTATTGGCAATAGCATTCCAGACCCTGGGGGCATCAATAGCAAAGGCCCTTCCTCCAGTTTTTTTTTACGGCAATAGGGAATGTGAAGGTGGTAAATGAGCGAAGACCTGAGGTCAAATTTGTTCTTTGAAACAGAGAGGAGATCCAGCAGGTAGTCTGCATATTTTTTTGTAAGTACATCGTGAATAAATAAGATCTGGTGCACAAGCCGTCGAACATAAAGATATGTTAAGTTTGACCCAATGTAGAGATCACAGTGGTGAGTCATATATGGGCAGTTCAATGTAAATCTTAAGGCCGAGTGATAGATGGAATCAAGCTTCTTCAGTACAGTACTTGGGGCTGATTTATACACGATGTCACAGTAGTCAAGTAGAGGCAGTATGGTAGCTTTTATCAATTCCAAAAGGAACATTGGGTGGAAGCAGTGCGTGTGTCGATACAGAAAAACAATTTTTATTTGTCTTTTACCAATATAATCAATGTGATCTTCAAAATTCAGTTTTGAATCCAGGATGACCACAAGATACTTATAGATCTTGACTTGCTCTATTTGACAATTATTTAAGGAATGTAATTGGGGAAAAATAACGTCCTGCTTTAGTCCTGGTGAGAAGCATAGCACCTTGGTTTTGGAGGTATTCAGGACTAGTTTAAGAGCAACTAGCTGATGTTGTAGTTTGTTGAAATCACCCTGTAGCTTAGCAATCACGTCATCCGGAGAGCGGCCAGCAGTAATCAGTATCGTGTCATCTGCAAAAAGATTTACCCTGGAATGATCCAGGTCAGTGCCCAAGTCATTGACATAAAGAGAGAACAAAAGGGGGCCGAGGATGGAACCCTGTGGAACCCCTTTTGTTATCTTAACACTGTTTGACCTCCAACCATCTGTGAATACAGTTTAGGTGCGAGAAAATATGTAATTTTGTAACCATTTTACTGCGTTTTCGGAAAAACCGAGGCAACTTAGTTTACTAAGCAGGGTGTTGTAGTCTACTGTATCAACAGCTTTGGACAGGTCTAGAAAAAGACAGGCACAGTACTGCTTATTATCAAGGCTACTGTAAATGTGATTCAGAGTCTAATGCAGCAGATGTGGTGCTGTATTTTTTTCGGAACTCAGATTGTTTTAGATGTAGTAGATTGTTGGTGGACAGGAACTGCTAATTTGGTAGGTCAATAATATTTCAAAAAATTTCATCAACGGGGACAAAATTGAGATAGGTCGGTAGTTATTTGGATCATCTTTAGGGCCCCCTTTGTGAAGTGGACGGACATAGGTATGTTCCCATTCTAGAGGAACTGATGCTTCTTTGATGGACAGGTTGAAAATATGGGCTATAGGTTTGTATATTAGGTGACCAACAGTTAGTAGAGCAAAGACGGGAATACTATCTGCTCCGGTAGAGGAGGACCCTTTGAGATAGGAAAGTTGTTTCAGAACATTACTTTCGTAGATTGTCTGGAAACTAAATTCGTTTAATGTTTGGACAGGGGTTTCGGAATTTGCATGAGTAGAGGTGACTCCCAATATATTATAAAAAAGATTACCAGCTTCAGAAAAATTAAGGTTAAAATTGTCAACTATTTTTTGAGGATCTGAAAAATATTCCCCATTTCGGTTAAGCTCAACGGGCAGATTGTCTGTTTTGGATGACTTTTCGATACATTTCATTGTTTTCCAGAAAATCCTGGCATTTCCATGTGATTCCAGGAGAGTGGAGGAAAAGTAGGCATTTTTTGCATGCCATATTTTTTTGACGCATCTATTCCTTAAAATCCTGTATTCTAGCCAGTCATTGACCAAATTACTTTTCTTAGCACATGCCCAAGCCTTGTCCCTAGTTTTCATGAGCTTTGTAATCAAAGGATCAAAACATGGTGGGCGGTTGCCTTTAGTTTTAAATCTAACCAACGGAGCATGTTTTTTAAGAATTTGGAGAAACGTGTACCTGAAGGTCTCCCATGCCATAGTCAGGTTGGGGATATCACAGACTTTGTCAATATCTGAGTGAAGCACATCATTAGTAAATGCCTGAGTGCTGAAGTGTCTCATAGAGTGCTTCTCAACCAATTTAGGGGGGGCTTTGGGTCTGGCTGATGATCTTACACCAAAAATGAAGGAGTGATCACTAAGGTTATTACCCAGAACACCAGTCAGTGTGAAATTGTGAGGGGCATTTGTCAATAGGACGTCAAGCAGAGATGACTGTCCCGGATTTTTTAGGTTGGGTCTTGTGGGGACATTTATTAATTGAAACAGGTTAAATTCATCTGTAAAAATTTGTGGCCACGGCCGGCGGGTTTAGCCAATTCCAATTTAGATCACCCACTAAAACTATTTCACCTTTAGGGAGGCCCCCAAAAAGCTCTCTCAGTGCAGATGCAGCTTCAACATCCTTCCCACTAGGCGGTCTATAGCAGCACACTACCAATATCTGTTGATTTTTTGGAAGCGTTATTCTGAGAGCCAAACTTTCAAAGCAACATTTTTTAAACGAGTGAGCTGGTGAACATGCAATAGTATTACAAACATAGATGGCAATTCCACCTCCTTTAGATCCTTGGTCAAGCCGAAAAAGGTTGTAGTTGTTAATCGTAATCTGCAAGTCATTGACGGCAGGTGTGAGAAATGTTTCTGTTAGGCAAAAAATGTCCGGGTCAAGATTTGCCACTTCTAGTTTTAGTTGACTTAATTTAATCACAAGCCCTCTGATGTTGACATGTAGAACACCAACACCTTTCCTGCCAGAAAAATCTACAGAATTATACGAGTTCTTTATATTTGGGCCAGGATGAAGCTCAATACAACCCAGAAATAAGAAAAGTAGAATTAATGTTTGCACAAGTATTTTCTGTGAAAGGATAAAGAGCGGTGAACCTTGGACGAATAACAGCAGTTCGCAGATGTGTTATTTTTAAGAGCAGAATGAAGTTTGGAAGGAGTGCTTGTGAAGTAATGGGACAAAGATAGGGTTTAAAAGGATACAATGATGGAGTGTAGAAGTGTCTATGAGCTGTTTCATTTGCAGGTGTAGTGGCAAATCGAGCAACAAGTATGGACGCAAAGTAACGAGGGTAGCCGTTTATAGAGTTGAGTGTGGCACTAGATATGGCCGGGAACGACAGTAGTATGATACACAGCAGGAGAATTGCCATCTTTAAGATAACAAAGATCCACAACAGTTAAACACACAAGTGAAAAACGTACAGGTAGGCCGAGCGCGAGTAATGTCTTGCCGCACTCGTCGCACATGTACGGCTTCTCGCCCGTGTGCTTAAGTTTGTGGTGGCGGTCAGCTCCAGGTCACGAAGTTGACTAGCCGTTCAAGTTCTTGCTGTTTGTAAGCACACCTTGGTGCGTTGCTATTTCTCTACGCTAGCGTGCATGTGACCTAACACGTCACTTTTTTTTCTTTTCAAGGAGCATCTTCGCGAACAGGGCAATAACCTGATCAAGCAGGTGAAGGGTAAAAACCTCAAGGAGCGGGTTAAGACGGTCGAGGGCTTCCTGCAGAAGCTTCGGCTCCTTGATAACGGAGAGCGTTTCTGAGCAAACCAGGCAGCAGCAGATTAAGGCAGAACCAAGGAGCAGAAGCTCAGGCAGGCCCAGGGAGTAGCAGCTCAGGCAGGCCCAGGGAGCAGTAGCTCAGGTAGACCCAGGTAGTAGCAGCTCAGGCAGACCCAGGGAGCAGCAGCTCAGGTAGACCCAGGGAGCAGCAGCTCAGGTAGACCCGCCCCCTCCACCCCAACTCCCGCCCCCTCCACCCCAACTCCCGCCCCCTCCACCCCAACTCCCGCCCCCTCCACCCCAACTCCCGCCCCCTCCACCCCAACTCCCGCCCCCTCCACTCACAGTCACACATAGTCACTTTAAGATGTTTTTCTTGTTCATGTTTTTGTTTTTTGTTTGTTGCGGTTGCACCCGATTCAAGAGCCGAATGTCTCACAGGACTATACCAAAATAAACGGAACT